TTTTGCTGGAAGAGAAAAAATACATAGTTGTACAATCTAGAATGTGATTAGGATTTGCGTCTCAGCAGAGTTATGTTTCTGCTTCATACTTCATTTACAAACAAAAACAGCACCTATGATTCAGCAAACATTTAGCTACTTATGAATAATTTTGAGCTTAAATCTGTTTGTATTTGGAAAGCAGAAACAATGCCACAAGTTGAATGTTTTTCTGCTTGAAATCTAATTTAATCATGGGCTCAACTTCAGCTGAATTGTGGAATTAAAGGGATTTCATCATATCTCAGCAACTCTCAATTATTTATATGTCAGACTCAATTTTTGTATTTTAATCCTTATTTTTCTTTCTATCAGAAAGTGGACCTTCATAGAAGTAGCTTATATTAAGCTCTCATCATTGTTCCATTTGTAAAACAGAAAAGTGCAGCAGAATCCCTCACCCTCTGCCACCAACCAGTTTTTATACCATAGCAGCATCCTATATAATAGGATGTATAATCCTATAATCCTATAATAGTCTGTATCTTGGTACCCAGTCCTCAGCATGTGTTGTCTGATGCTTCCAACAAGAGGATCACATATCTTAGGCTGTTTTATCAATTAAAAGAGTGCAAAAAGCTGCCTTTTGTCAAAATCAGATTATCAGTAAAAAGAAACTTGACCTTCTAAAAGAAATGTCCTTTACCTACCCGGAAAGAAGAAAGTTTGGTATTTGGTATTGGAGATAATTCATGTCTGAATTTGAAACTACAAAATGGGGTGAAATGTGTCACTATAAGTCAAAACTAAAGATGCTCTTACCTAGATGTTATAAATTTATAAATGAGGATGGCAGTAAGCACAAAGTAAAACATTTAAACATTTCAAATAAAGTAAAACATAAGCTTTACTTATTTTTTCTTTGATGAGAGACTAATAGAAGTTGATAACTGATCTAGCCAATGGTTATGTCCTCAGATGGGTTACTACCTGTATTTTGGACTACACAGACTATTCCACAGACTGCACATGTTGTCTTAAAAAAAAAATAGTGAGATTCAGAAAGGTTGTCCAATCCCATCTGGTTTCTAAAGTGCTCCTCTCTCAAGAACAGCAGTTTTATAGGTGGTTGCTGCTGATTAATTGGTTGCTGGTTAAGAGTTCAGCCTTCATATCTGATTCAAGGCCCATCGAAGTAACATATAGGAGCCTTTAAATTGGCTACAGCAAGTAAGTAAATAATATTTCAGCATGTAGATATAAGCCTGGTATTAAATATGACTTTTGATTACTCTGTTTATTGAAAACTAATTTTATGGCATTTCAAGTGCCTTGAACTTCTGACACGAGGCTTTCCTCTTTAGATAAGCAGCATGCTTGTGTCAAGGACAGCCCATTCATACATGCTGTAGCACATGGAAATATGTGAGGAGGAAAAAGAAACAATGCAACTCTGCATTTCTTTAATCAGGTAGATATATTAGCAGAAAGGACGTATCCTCTTGCAGTGTCTTGGTATATTATGCTGTTTTGGAAACAAGCCATTGCTTTGGCCTTGACATGATAATGTGTGCGTTTTTAGCAGCAGGCAGTAAAACACTAGGGATTAGTAAGAGTACTAAAATTTAGGACTTATCACCCACTGCAGTCAGGTAATGTGAAGCAGAGACTCATCAGTCACTGAGTTTAGGCTTCCTTCCAGGAGGTCCCATTCTGCACTATGCTGTAGAGGCTAACCACAGTCCTAAAAGCCATTTACTTGGATTCACCTGGAAGTGAGATGTAGCAGCGGCCTTGGCCAGTCTTTTGACTAACCAGTCAAAGTAACCCTCCTGTTAGGAGGCTCCTCCCTCCTGTGTATACGTATTTACTCAAAGAGCAGGTCAGTGTTGCTAAATACAGATGCGATGATCATGTGATGATCACTAGTTCCTTCTCTTAAAAGACACAAAAGTCTTAACTCTATATGAACGGAGGAATTGTAAATGGTAATTTTTTAAGACCTTAATAGGATTTTAGTCATATTTGAAATAAGACTGAAGGAAATACATTCTTCGAGACATAAAGTTAAATATGTTTTTGCATGTGAGTATATGACTATTCTACACTAAGCTAAATAACTCTTAAAAAAAAGGAAATAATCTTCAAACTATTTTAAACATTGAAATTCTGAAAACAAGTCAAAACAAGAGATACGTTCTCTTCATTTAATATGGAAGGAAAAAAGAATAGTGGAAAATTTGAAGGGTTTCTTTTGAATTTTGTTGCTCATGCATTGCTGTGAAAGAAAATTTTTTGCTAATTTCTGTTATAAGCATTACATTGCCCTTTCTTTTATAATTTTCAGAGGTGCCGAGTCCCCATTGCCCCACTTGAAATAGTCTTTGTGAGTCAAGTAGCATCAGGTATCTGGGACAGATGTCTTAAAACTTTCTTATTCTTTACACATGGGGCCTGATCCAAAGTTATCTGTGAGGAGAGATACAAGCTTGACACTTCTAAATAACACTGCTTTCAAGCAGTTAATTTTACAAAAAGAAAATGGGCAAGCCATTTTACATTCTGGTTCATTGAAAAAAAAGTCTGAGGCTTCCTGCACTTTTTATTTTTGGTATATCATCTAGTCAACCTTCCACCTCGAAAGAACAACGACGTAAGTAAAGGCAAGGAACATTTCTTCCTCTGCTCCAAAGTTCTGCCAATCCCAACAAATGATGGATCAAAGCTGCAATTTGAATTTATATCATCTCTGGAGTTGTAAAATCCTTAAATGTCTTCCTTCCTTTTCATCGAAGAAGGAAAAAAAGACACTAGTTTGGGAAAAAAAAAAAATCAGTTCCCTTTCCCAGTGATCAAATGGCAACATCACCAGTTCAAAGGCACTGCGTAAAATGGGAACAAACAAAAAGCCTGGGCACAAAGACCTGTGCCTTTGAATTGGTGTCTTGATCTGTGCACAGGATCTTTAGCAGAAAAATGTTTATTCCATGAACATTTTCAATATTTAAACTTGGCTAGAAGATTATAAAGAAAATCAGGATATATTTGTCTTCAGGCTTTGGCAGTTAGCTAGGGATACAAATTAATCAGTCTACAACTGAGAGTTGCTTATTAGTGAACACACAAATCTTCTGAAAGGGATTAAAAACCTCTGCAAAGGCTTTGCAGCTTGTCTTTTAGGTTCCATGAGGTTCTCAGCCAAGAATAACATGATCATGATCCAAGATGATGAGGAGGAACTGTAAAACGAGTGACTGAAGAGGTTCTCAGACCAAAACAGGTGATCTGGAGACTTTCAGTAGAACAGAAATAAGAATCGCAGAGGGTGCTGGAGAGAGTGTTTTTATTACAGACATCTCCTGGAGTGCGCAACAAATCTTGACCAGCGGGCAATCTCACAGAAGCAGTGACAGGGAACAAAACCATCTCTTGCCCTGGGTGAGGGGGAATTTAAAGCATCCTGCTCATTGATTCCGCAGCTTCTTCCCATTGTTTATTAAGACGTCTTACTGTAGGTCAAGTTGTATTCAGGGGACAATTTAACTGGTTAATGAATGGTCTGAATGGTGAGAATATTAGAGTTCATTTCTGCAAATAACAGGCCCTCTCTGGACTAACCAGAACTCTGAGAGGAAGGAAGAGACATCAGTGGGAATTTCCCCTAGATAATAGACTTAGGTGTACAGAAATCCTGTTCCATCTTCTCTAAATATTATATGAATAATATAGAAAGCAATAGTATTTACTTAGCTGAATTTGGAACAGTGCTCCCTGCAAGAATATTCAATATATTTGCTGTACTCATTTTTCCTACATATCCAAAATGACAAGATATGGAGAACTTGAGAGATAAAAACACTTAATTTAGATTTTAACAAACCGCATTTTCAAATTATCTGTCTAGGATTCCCAGCTACAGTGTGTTATGCTTTTTTTTCTAAGTGACCAGGACTAGTTTATATTATGTAGGGCTAAGAAAAAATCAAGAGGGAGCTTATAATTACATTACTGGTAAAATGTGAGGTAAATAAATATACATGGAAGTTTTCTGTCTTTTTTCTCACTCTTTTTTTTTTTTGGTGGACATTTCTTTATGATAAAGCACACCGATACTTCTGTATCAAAAGTCCTGGTTTTGGTCTACGTTGAATGCTCTATTCCATGCATTTTTCTGAAAATACAGGTCACATATGACGCTGCAGGTTGAAGCCTGAGAACAAACAAACAAACAAACAAACAAACAAACAAAAAAAGAAATGATTTTACTTTTTACTTTTTATTGGTGAATACTACAAAGCTAAAATGCTGTACACAAAGTTTGAACTAGTTACGTGTTTCAGGTTTTATTGCAGTTTGGTCCTTATGATCATATTAAAAACATATAAAATTAAACAATGCTCCAGAAATTAACCAGTTCTCCCTTAAAAATTGAAAATTCATTGATACAGCCTTAAAATATGTTTATTTTTTGCAGAGATTTTATAATATGAAAGAGTTCTAGCTTTAGGTGCCTGTTGTCCTTAGATGTTGTTCTTCGTTTTTATAAACTGCTATTTAAATTAGAGAGGGTGCACTTACAGCTGCTAGCAGAAAAACACATTTTTATTCAAGATCAATGTATACAAAAGCCCAGACAGTCCTTTTCCAGGGAGGATGTCCATTCTGCTTTGCAGGAATGGGACTATAAGACAATTACACAAAGTCATTATGTAAGGCAGATTGAAACTGCACCCTTGAGTGTAAATCCAGCAACGGGCCTAAGTAAAATTTATTTATGGTTTTATACCTAGTATGCGGTATTTATTTCATTGATTTCTAATATTCGTAAACATTTGTAAACATTCAACATTTCTAGCATAAGGAGTATTATTAAAACCTTTAGTTTCCGTAACGGGGAAATACTCTAGTAAGATCTCCCATCACATCCCTGGGGAGTGAATAAGCTCACTAGCTCAGCTTTCCATGACCCTTGTGCACATCTCCCAGTGCTGACCCACTGAGCAAGAAGGAGGCGCCCGGACTCAGTTCTTGGTATTCTGCAGAGAATCTATGAGGGCTTTGTTGTATTCCGTAATCAGCTTTCTCACATTCCTCATTACTGGCTGGTAGTCGCTCTCCTGACTTTTTGTTGCTATGACTGATTAAAATAATTAAGGAAACAAATTTAACATCATAAGTATCAGCATAATTAAAGATTACAAGGCAGCTATATTACAGTAAGTTTCTTTCTGCAAAAAAAAGGCAAGGTTTGCAAATACTGGGAAAAAAGTTTAATTTTGATTTAAAGACTTGCACTAATCTAGATATTAAGTCACACCTAAAAGACAAAAAGACATTACACACTAGGTACCTTTTGTTTTTATGTATACTGCCTCTTCAGAAAGACTCTCTCATGCAAACAAAAACCATTCCAAAGCACTCTAGCTATTTAAAGGTGTATGTCTGCAGCCCCAACAGCTAGGGCTACAAAAATCTCAGGCCAAGAAAACTGGGTCATTTATTTTTACCAGCCCAAGTAGACAAAAAATTCTGTGGAAGCATCTGCACTTGGGTAGGTAATACATCACAGCAAACCAGGAGGAGCTATTAGTACTACAATCATCTTTTCTTTTTCCTTAGGTTTCTTTTAGAGGGCTTTTTTCACAATAGAAAGAATAATATTGACATAGTAAAATATTCCTGTAAAGTGTTCTTCATAGTGCAGATGGTTCTAATTCTATTTCTTAAATGTTAGCAGGCTATTTTCAAGCTTTCTGTTGAGTTTAGTATCTATAAAGAAATTACTTCAGTCATGTGCAGTTACGGTGAAGCTTACCAGAAGGTTTCACATCAATAAAAAAGGAAGAGCAGTAGGATGCCCAAAGGTCACATATAATAAGGTAGTGAAAACATGAAAAGACATAGACAAAGAATAATCCAAACACATATTGTTAATTCTTTTTCAATGGGAAAAAAAAAAAGGGAGGAGGGGGGCTATTTCACTTGAATTATTACATTCTGTTGGACTTTTAAGAACTTATTATCTCCACATAATATTCTGAAAGAAAAAAATACATGTAGTATATGTATGTATACAGGTATATGCATACATACACACGTACACAGAGAAACCAGAAAAGCTCACTACTATATTTGTTGAATGAAAAAAAATACTGCTTTATGTAGATCCTATATTCAACTTTTTCTTTTCTTCTTTTTTTTTTTCTAATAGGGTATTGCCTGAAATATATCTTGATCTTTTTCTGAGGCCCCAAGCCCTGTCCATTACCTTACACACAAAAGTGATCTAGTGCTGTGAATAGGTGAATACAGTCTAGTTTTGCTGTTATTTTTCTAATGTATTTGTTCTGTAATTATAAAAAGTGATTTTATGAATCTTTCATAATTTGCTATTTTGGTCTCTGGGATCAACTTAAAGTGGGGAATTTACTGCAGTGTTTTCATACTCCTGGAAAACAAATGTTACAACTAAGCCTGCTCAGATCTCTACCAATTATGGTAGATACTACAGGAAAAGAAGAATCATTGCCTCTAAAAGCTTCGCTGCTTCCGTTAATTTAAAAAGTTGTATTATGAAAGTCATTTGCAGCAAATAAGATTTTGCCAATAGTTTGGAAGGTTTAAAATTATTATTTGGGGAGATAGTGGAAAGTACCTCTTCAATTAGCCACATGTAGGGAACAAACAACATCTTCATCAGCCCAGAAAATTCTGCAGCCAAAGACTCTCTTTGTCATATTTGACTAGATCGTTTCTCTCCAATACGTAATTCCTCTTTTATTTAACAAGAAATATATAAAAATACATGAAGTGTACTTTTTCATGGTTGGTATTGTGTTTTTCATTTGCAAAATACCAGGCAAAATCACCATATAATACGACTCCTGCTGGATAATTTGAGGTAAGCACAGATAGACATAAAGATAATATTTGAACAGTTATAAAGCCTAACTGAAGCAAAACTGATTTAAAAGTAAGAACTCTGGAGTTTAAAGACAAATGCTATGATTTAAGACTCCTAAAATTGTTTCAAATTAAAGCAGCAAGTTTCATTGCACATCATACCCACTAAGTGTAAATTCACATTTCTCAAAGCACTGCTTTTTCCCTTCCTCCTGTCCCCAGCTCCCCATTCGATCCTGTCTTGTTCTGGTGGAGGAAATAGACTTCTTCCTTAATTATTACAGTGTGAGAATTTTACTGTATTTCTTAAATAAAAGGATACATTCCTTCATCATAAAGTTATTTTGCTCATGGTGCTGCCACTTCCTCTCCAAATTTGTGAGCTGATAAAAACAAAAGAGACTTTAATAAGAGCCAAAAATGAAAATAAATATTAAACACCTAAGAAATACAATAAATCTTCCCAAACTCTTATTTCAGAACTTTGCATTCTATTGCCTGGTAAGTCAATGTTATTCCAGAAGAAAACTAGAAATCATAAATACCAAGAAAGATTGTTAAAAAAATCTATCAACAGTCAACTCATACTTTTCATTTTGCTGATTAAATGGTACCTGGGAAAAAAAAAGTATTTGAAATTTTTGTCATGCAAGGAAACATGTAACCTCATCATAGGAGAGAAAGATACACGCTGGAGGATACGCACTGAATCCCGTTACACTTATATCATTTAAGTGATCTATTCTTAAAGTCAGTAAGACTTAAAATCACCAAAGATACAATATTTCCTGGAGCTGGCCTGGACTCAGCTATACAGAAGAAACTTCCTCACTACCATAGTTAAGTTTCCTGTCTGATGCCAGAAGCTGTGATAAGAACAGAGCTGCAGCAAGAAGATTGTAGGAGTGTGGGTTAAGTGTTGGCACTTCTTCAAATTTTTCAGCATCAACAGGAAAGTAATGTGGACATTATATTGATGGCTGCTTCCTCATAATACAACTTTATAACATTAAATTGTTCTTCTGATGCTACCACTCAGAAGTTTGCATTTCAAGATATGTACATGTTATTTTTAAATGTAAAAGACGAAAATCATTCTGAAACTATTTTTTCAATAAAAACTACAGTAATAGTTTAGAATAATATTGTTATATTTTACTTAAAAGTTTATTCATAAACTAGAAGATATGACAATACTTGCTCCTTTCCACAAAATACATTTCACAGTGGAAAAACAATTAGCTAGTGTTTTGATTCACTGTAAATATTGTGACCATTTATTTGCAAGATAAGATATTTCTGATTAATTGATAAAGTTGGTAAAGGTGCCTGGATTTGTAATACTTTTTTATATAGACCAAAACAAATTCAGTGCTTTCAGTCTCATATAAGTCAGAAATTCAGTCTTATGTAAGTCCTTGAAGGCTCCCCTGTGTACAGTTAATTGCTTATAAAATCACTGTTTCCAAAGATTTAGCACTTCACGATGTGCACTCCCTGCATTTTAAGATGGTTTGGGTATGTCAGCTAATCAAGTATTTTAAGTGAAATGAATAAATGCAGTACAGTTAGTTATGCAAAGTTATGTAGAACTTATGCAGTTATGGAAAATTATGTAGAAACTTTTACATTATTTAGTAAATATCTTAACATTGGTTAGCTGTCAGATTTACATAATCTTTATGAATGAGAATCTGATCTTGCAAGAACAGTACCTTAACGACTTACAGACTTTGACATGAATTTTTGGTGATTTCTATCCATATCTCAGTCATTCCACAATAATTATATGCTCTATGTACCTCATTCAGAAGTATGAACACATGGCCTCACTCTTCTAATCCATAAAGTTCACTCCACAAGTTATCTTAAACAAGTACAAATACCACCTTCACTTTGTAACTGAATTAGAAAAATCAATTGTTCTGACATAAGAGACTAAGATCTCAGTAGCCTCAAAAATAAAAGCAAATAAAAATTAAATAAATTAATTCACATTGTTGGTCCAGCTTATCTTATTTCTGTCTGTGTATATGCCTTATGTTGACAAAATAAGAGCAGTTAGTAGTAGGGAGAATAAATGCTGCTGTAGACTTTATCAACTTTTACCCTTCTGATTCACTTTGAAATGTAAATGTAAATATAGTCATGTACCAAAGTTACATGGGTTCAAAAAAGCCAAAATGAACCATGAAAAATTCACTGGTTTATAGAAAGGATTGAAAAAGGAGAAAATAAATTGTAACATGAGTTGCAAAGCATGAACTTATCACCACAAATTTTAAAGCAAAATTGATCTTACATAATTAATAGTGAGCTTTTCTTTCTGAGTTTCTTTCTTAGCTGGTCCTCAAAACTTCAGCAACACAAACAAGATTGAAGGGAAAAAGAGGGATATTTCTGAGCAAAATTCACTCAAATACTTAAAAGATTTTTACCATATTTAATCTCAAAAATACCTGCACTCATTAGGTCTGAAATCCAAAATGAAAAATAAATTGATGGCATAGCATTAATTTCTACATTTGAATGTAGAAAATTTGACTACATATGCATTTAGACTACGTAACTTTGAAAACTCATTCAGAAGGGTCTAATAGATTTGTCCACACAGTGCTTCATGTATATGAGAAAAATATATTCAAGATAGCAACAACTCAAGAGATAATATGGATCTTGAGCAATACCTGAGAATGAGTCTCATTCTCCTGCAGTTGACTTTTTAGACTCTCATACTCTGCATTTAAGTGTTCCATTATTTTCTTGAAAGCTCGGCTACGTTTTGTCAATTTTTCTTTGTCATCTTGTAGTTTCTAGTTGGGAGAAGAGGGAAAAAAAAAGGCACTAAGATTAAAGGGTGAATTCATCCATTTTCTGCCAGCTAAATTCTAAAGTGACTCTCAAGCTGCTGCTTTTTCTTCATCTTTGAGCATTCCTATGTACCTAAAGAATCCCTAGAACAGTTCTTTAACAATGTATTCTCTAACCCAAAGAAAAACTGTTCAATAGTTACGGCCAAGTTATAGCCCAGACTTTGATGTGACACAGAAGTGGGAACTCTGCTATTAAGAATTTGTGGAAAAATAATCATATACCAACTAAATACTCTAGTGGAGCTTGTCTTAGAACAAATCAAGGATATGCGTGTCATATTTTTCTGTTTGTTTGTGTTCTGTGATTAGATGCTAAATTCAAGCTTAAAAGTGAGAGCAGAAAAGGTCAGATGGGTCAGTAAAGTAAAAAATTTTGTGGAAGAAAGTTACAGAAAAGTACCCAAATGATAGGCTGGTATACGTGCCCAGGTATTAAGTGATATATAAAAACAGAATTTGGATTCACCTGCACTGCTGTGCAAACCAGTTTTCAGCCACCATGTTTCTCATAGATCTGGATAACCCTATATTAAGTCCTGTAAGAGCACAAGACCCCCACATCTTCTGCATATTTCTAGTTTTCATTTCTATTATTACCTTTTTCTTCTCTTCTCCTGCTGCTTTCAGTGCTGGTAAATTATTATAGATCTCTAAGTCCTTTTTGGTTTGCTCAATTTTGTCTTTAAGAGAAGCCAGTTCATCAACCATCTTGCCCTCCAGGAGTTCCATCTTCTGCAGATCCATCTGCAGTCTTTGACTCTCTAAATCATAAGATACAGAATCTCTAAATATCAATATTTTCAATCTGATAATACATTACTCAGTATATAAAAATTTACGCTTCACAAGAGCAATACAAACAGCTCCTGCATTTCTTTCTGTGACATACATGTTCATGTGGATGAAGTGAACTTACAAACATAGGGTGATTTCATACAACTCAGTGTGGCACTGCTATTGGGGTTACAAATACCTCAGTCAATTTCAAGTTTTCAGGCGGCAGCAATCCTTTGCAAAATGCTGATTGAATAGGAATAAATCTGTTATTCTTAGATTTTTAATATCACTTTTTTAACCTTTGTTGCTTTTTATGGTAAGTCTTTGTCTTACGCGAGTAAATCTATATCTTTTTTTCTTTAAAACTGTTAAAAAAAAGGAAGGGAGAAAGGGAAGGGAAGGGCAGGGAAGGCAAGGGAAGGGAACGGAAAGGAAGGGAAGGGAAGGAAAGGGGAAAACGCTATGGATCTTCTCATTTTTATATAGTCTTCCTAATCCCAAATGTTCAAAAACTTTCCAGAAAATTTAGATTTGGTTTCTTTAATGCAATTATTTGGGAAAACCCTAAGTGACCATGACCTTGACATAAAAGACTTTGGTACTTACTTCTCTCTCTGTATTTATGTCCCCTACTCATTTTTTTCAGAATGAAATATTAGTGTTCAGTAGCATTTTTGACTTCTTATAAAGGTAAACTCTTTAGGAAAGCTCAAAAAAAAAAAAAGGCAAATATTTTTGTGTGCAATATGTAGAAGGAATATGTGTGAGGAACACAGTCTCATAAGGTTAATAGTTAAAAGAGCCTGCATATGTAAAAAACATCAATATACAAACTACAAATTCCCATACTGTTTCCATACAAATTTTCATACATACATTTTCCATACAAATTTTCATGTGAAAGGAAGGATTTAAAAATACAGGATTTGTAACTGTATTATGTACTGTTGAATCAATGGTTAGGCTGCATGTGTTCATAAACTGATTAAGAAAACACTTCCCTTGTGACTTGAGTATTTTGTAGCTACCCATAATTTTCTGCTCTGAAATAGCTCGTGTTGGCCAATGCCAAATCCTAAAACAGGACTGAAGAGACCTTATTTCCTTATTCCTTTCCTTACTCCAAGAGAAGGATCAGAAACTCTGATAAACTAGATCTTTAGCATTAAAACACTGAACAATAAAACTATATAAATTAAAAAAAATAGAAGGAAATGTTTGCAAAAACATCTTTCAATTTTTGTAAAGGTTTATACTTTATCAAAACATTCCTGCCTTAATATTGTTATTATTCTATCAATAATATTATTATTTAAAATACATAAGCCACAATGTCAAAAGAGCTTGACTCTTCTATCCATATACTGAAACAAAGGTACAGTGAGACAGAAATGACCTATTCCTATCCAGTCACACTTTCTAGAGACAAGGAAATAACCTAGAATTTTATCCTCACCCAGCAATAGCTGCAAACAAAAATAAATAAAAATACATAAAACTTCTGTAGGGGAAGAGACAGGAAGAGGATGCAGCCCAGTTCCTTCTGATATGCCACGAAGCTGCAGCATCTAGCAGGCAGTGTGTACACAGTAACAAACTCTGAGACCAAACTGCTTTGTGACCCAGGGAAATGTTTTTGGGAAACTATGCCATCAGCATTTTTGTTTACTCTTCATAGTTTCCTTTTCCTTATTTCTTTTTTTTTAAAGGGTTCTGCTGATGGACTTTTCATAATACTGTTACGGCAAGGAAATATGAAAATCCAAATTTTAATCACAATAAAAGAATCCTGAAGATGACTGATCTATAATTCAAAGGTTAGGAATAATTTCAACTGTAAAAAATGGGTATTTGTTGTGTTTTTGCAAGAATCTAATTCAGCATCTGTAATTCCTAGCTTTAGGAATTTTATTTATAAATCATTTAAATTAACTGCTGAAAACTATATGCTGTAACTTTTTCCTCTCCCCTTGCCAAGGATGAGCTACATCTTTCAATGATGTCTGCTATGTGCTTTGGGTAGATTCTTATATTGTAAAATAGTAAGAATTCATGATCACACAGAAGAACAAAAAAAAAAAACATATTTGAACCTGTAACAGGTAACCTAGTTTTTAAAACTATGTTACAACTGCAAAATGCAAACAAGTAAGTGAACTCAAAACCCTAAATTGTAAACAGAGCAAATACCTTCAGTAGTATTTTTTGCTTTTTTGCACGTAACTACTTAAAAGTCACAATATAGGTTCTTATTTTGGAAATTACTACCAAGTACAGCACATAATAGTTTTCTAACAAGAAGATTCATGGTCCTTCATTCCTGCCCCTTCCTTTCAGTCAAACCAACAAGGAAAAATTTACTGAACCAATAATGATATTGGCAAAGGTTTGGAATCATGTGAACAATTCCATTAACAATAGTGCAAGTAAAAAAATAAATAGATACCTGTTACACAAAGGAAAGAAAAATAACATCTGCTTTTGAAAGTAAGTGCAAGAAACTGCAAATTCTTAGGATTCAGATTTAAGTTGAACATTCCCAAGATGAAATTAATATGGATAATAAGCAGAATCAAGACTAAGAATTTAACCCTGAGGACTTTTTACACTGTAGTTGTCAGTTACTGCCATGTGATACACACCTTTCTAGGGAAGGACAAACTGTAAAAGATGCAAGGACTATATTTCCAAATAACGTATGGTTAATTAACTGTGCAGCTCTCTGCTTCTGCTTATTAAAATTATTATTCTGCTTATTAAATTATTTTAAAATTGTGAATATCTTTTATTTTGAAGCAAATAATAAACTTCTATGTCAGTGAACAATATGCCTCTAAAATATTAGTACGGGAAATAGTTATCGGGAATATATATATAATCTGTTATTCATCATATTTTCAGATGGTCAACTTGCCAACTGTTTTTTAATACCCAAAGATCACTGATGTTATATTTCATTATTAGTGTAACAAATCAGGTAAATTCCATTTTTAAAGGAATGAATTTGAAAATTCATTGCTTATCTCACCTGTACTGAGATTCTTAGCAGTGCTCTGTGATTTCTGCATTTCAGTTGATTTGAAAGTGAGGTCTTCCTGCATGATCTTCAACTCTTGATTGGTAACAGATGAAATTTGTTTCATACAATTCACATTCTGCATGTTACCAATAACAATAATGAAATGTTTTGTACCTTTGAAATTATGAATGCAAACCGACAAGAAAGCAGCTCTCCTAATACATTATCTATTATTTGGCTTTTCTATTACAAAGACTGAAAATACTGTCAATACTCTGAAATGATTTAAATGCAGTCTGGAAGAAGATGCACTGACGTGCCAGTGATGATAAAGAGAACATGATATCTATGTTGTCACACCTGTCCTGTCTAAAGTGTCACCTGCAGTGCTGTGTCCAGTGCTGGGCTCCTCAGTACATGGCAGGAATGGACATACCGGAGTGGGTCCAGCAAAGGGCCACAAAGAGCATCTGACGTACAAGGAGATGCTGAAATAGCCGACGCTGTTCAGCTTGGAGAAAAGAAGACCCTGAGGGGATCTTATCAGTGTTTATAAATATCTGATAGGAAATTATCAAGAGGATGGGGGCAGATTTGTCTTGGTGGTGCCCAGTGATGGGATGAAAGACAACAGGCACAAACTGGAACACCTGCAACACAGGAAACTCCATCTGAACATGAGAAAACTCTTCTTTGCTCTTTAGATGGCCCAACACTGGAAAGTATTCTCAGAGAGACTGTGGAGTCTCTTCTTTTGAGATACTCCATGACTGTCTGAACCCAGCTCTGTGTAACCTTCTATACCTGACCATGCTTCCACAGGGGGTTCAGAAAATCTTCACAGGTGTCATCTAACCACAGCTATTCTTTGTGATTCTGTATCACTACATAAGATACTATATAACATACTAAAACAGTTTAGGACAGTTTAGGATTCGATCAAAACATTACAGTGCTCTAACGTTTCTGAAACAAGAAGTCTATTGTAAATAAAAATGTTAAAAGTTAAAATATTTTGTCAGTGCAAAATATGACAAAGACTGAAAATGTGAACAATACTTAAAGTGTTTATGTTAAATTTGGGTTAGGTTAGGTGTTCCAGACAAAATTTTAATTTTAATAGATCAGAAGTATAACTGAAATATTGTCAGTTACTTAACAAACACCACGGCATACCCATAAAATGAGGTTTGCAGATTTTGTATAAACAAAATTGAAAGAATAATTATTTATTTGCAGTATTCTGAAATGTTTTAGCATGAATGCTCTTTATTATAACAATGATGATGAGTTACAACAGTGATACTACCATTTCCATAATTGTTACCTTATTTTCAAAATGCTTTCCATAGAAATAATGAGAAATTATTATTTTTTCCTTACAACTGACTATGGTATCTCTTTAATCTTCTTCAAGTATATTATATAAATATGTACTGGATAATATATAAATACCATCTTCCTGCTTATCCCTTCCGCTCCCTGTTCTGTGTTTTTATATTCCTAATTTACCACAGCAGGAAGGAAAAGCACTTACCCTACTTGAGTGCTCCAAGAGCGTAATAATGTTGGCTTCTGTTTTGGCTTTTCGTTTTAATTCCTGGCTCTTCACATCTTCAAAAGTCTCAAGAAAATCTAAAGATCAACAAACAAGATAAAGGACCTTGAAACTTGTCAAGTTTGGGGTGAAATGACAGACATGAAAAAATTTCCAGAGACCAATATTTGATTGATGAAGGGTAAGAGGTAACCACTCTCTTGGAGATTATGGAGGAGCTGCCATTCAATGGCTGCAGGAAAATGGACATTCAAAGGGACAGGAAAAAATGTTCATTACCATTCTAACACTTCTGAATGCTTATCCTAGCAGCAGTTCCTGTTAATTTTTCTGAAAGCTACCAAACCATGCTACCAAACAAAGAAAACAGGAGGAAACTGAGAGAAAACTCACTATCTCTTATAGCTTGAACTACATCACAGATACCACTTGGATTCTGAGATAGAGGCATCTTTCACAGGCAAAGGTATATATCATTAGAGTAAGATGTCAGTAAGATTCAGAAGAGAATCTCTGAGAATAGATGATTACCATGTGCGTTTTTCTCCAACATCCAGGCTGCAAATGAAGTTGGCATTAGAAGTTTTGTTTTCAGTGATTTTTTTTCCTTCAGTATTAACTTGTCACATTTTATATTAGAAACAGAACCATTATACTTTAATAAAATGAGCAAGAATGAAAGCTTCAAAAATAGCTCCTTCCTCAAAGCACTCTTAAGGCTCTTTTCATATCATTTCTTACTGTGAACTACAGCTAAAAAGGAATTTTCTTTATTAAGAAAATATCTGAGTACAGTTCAACAGGGAAAGGCTGTAGAGAAAACAAACATCCTGAAATTCTTACTTAATAGTTTGTATTGTAAATATTTGATCTCAGGTGCATTAAGAAGAGCGGCTCCAGCAGGTCGAGGGAGGTGATCCTGCCCCTCTATCCAGCCCTGGTGAGGCCGCACCTGGAGTATTGTGTCCAGTTCTGGACCCCACAATACAAGAGGGATGTGGAGCTGCTGGAGAGAGTCCAGCGCAGGGCTACAAGGATGATCAGGGGCCTGGAACATCTGCCCTGTGAGGAGAGGCTGAGGGAGCTGGGCCTGTTCAGCCTGGAGAAGAGAAGGCTGAGAGGGGATCTAACCAGTGTCTATAAGTACCTCAAGGGAGGCAGTGAGGAGGATGGTGCTGGCCTCTTTTCAGTGGTGGCCACTGACAGAACTAGAGGTAATGGCCACAAACTGAAGCATCAAAAGTTCCACAGGAACTTAAGGAAAAATCTATTAACAGTGAGGGTGACAGAGCACTGGAACAGGCTGCCCAGAGAGGTTGTGGAGTCTCCTTCTCTGGAGATCTTCAAAATCCGCTTGAACGCAGTCCTGTGCCATGTGCTCTAGGTGACCCTGCATGTGCAGGGGGGTTGGACTAGATGACCTCTAGAGGTCCCTTCCAAGCTAGGATCCATTCTAGGATTCTGTGATTCTGTCCTTTTTTTCTAAAAAAAAAAAAAAGAGAGAGAATGGGCCATTTGTATAAGCCAAATAACTTATAACCTGACATAAAACTTGAAATCTCATTTAATTGTTTAATATTCTAACAGGATCCAAGACTTCATTAATCTGTCTCATGGGGTTTGAGTCACCACTTTTCAAAACAACAGATGATGCTATAGCCCTTGCTATAGTATCACGTGCAAGTATACGTATGCACTTTTCTTTTAGTGGCTGACTGCAGTCTCCCTTCATTGACCCGCTGTAGGCAGTTGGGATACTAATCTTACAAAGGCTCTAAGTCAGAACAGCAAAGGAAAGAAATAAAACTGTGAGGGAGGGAAATACTTACACATATTCACTAAAACACATATGCTGTGAACTTTGTTAGGTAGCAATTCTTCAGTGAACAAAACCAAATCACTTTGTATTCACAAATACATAATTTCATAAAACTGAGCCTAAAATTATGCAGCTAGAACCTCAGAATTGTATTTACATTATTTCAGTATTTATTCTCCTTGGGCATTCTGGATATTTCCAGACTTTTAACCTTCTTTGAATTTCTTCAAAAACATTATGTGAGGTCTTAATTTACATCTCATCTTACAGTTTTTCTGCAGCACCATTTCTTTATTGATCATATATGTCTGAGACTCATCTGAGCAGTATATATTTCACAGAATTAAAAAAATGAATGGAAGGGACAGTCACCTAATTAATTCACCTGCTCCAAGGTAAAACAACTTATGTCATTAATTCGTGTTTGCCTACACCTTTCTACTCCCTGTCTTGTAAAAGACAGCATATGATAAAGACGAAATCACCTCCTCCCACAATCAGTCCCACAACTTGATGAGTACGTTCCTGACAAATTAGACTTCTGTGTATAACTCTGCTATTTTCTCTTTCCACAGTGGTGTATTCATTGTATCTCTTCCTATAACTCTAAGAGCCCATTTTACAGAGCTAAAATAAATGAATTCTACTCTTTCCTATCCCTGAGAAAGTGTACAATTTGCTCTTAACCTTTTTTTTTACATCATTTTTAATGTTGTGATTATTTTAAATTCTAACCCTGCCCTCCAACATGCTTTCTTTTTAAAAAAAAAAAAAAAAACTTTTTTTTGTGGGATGTTTGTGCCAATCTATATATTTACTCTTTCTTCCATCATCTGACAGGTTAATAAAATACCCCGTATACATTGCAATATTCTGCTCAACATATCTTTCCATTTTGATAGTGCATCCTTTAGAATAACTATTTTTTCCATTAAATGCTTAAAATAGATTAATATGGATGTTTGCCTAGCTTACTTTTACAAACACAGAAGACACAGCTGTAGAAGACATTCTCACATCAGCATACAAGTCATCTGCTGTTTCTCCTTATTTTTTCTATCACAAAGTAAATCAGCTGCTTCTCGTTGACAAATCAATGCCAGTATGATTAATTATCATGTTTTTGTAAAGATTTCATTTTTTGTTGATTATTTATTGAAGAAACTTTCTGGAAATTGATATCAAGATGACTGGCCTGTAATTCGCTCTTTTGCCATCTTTAAGATTCCTTCATGTTGTCTCAGACGTCATGGTTAACTTCAAAAAGCACTAGAGCTGCTACAATGTTCTCTGATGAAGTTTGTGAAATTAGGTAATTCAAAAATACATAAGGTTTATAAGTATTCCCATTAATGTTTTTCACTCTCAATTCTTTTTGGTCCTTTGCTAGCCACTATATAACAGTCAACATTTTTAGTGAGCACTTACAAAAAGGTGTTATATATGTGAGACTTTATTTATTGATCAATTTCTCCTTTGGCTGAGTGACAGATCAATACTTCTTGTAAGCTTCCTATTACAGTGCACTAGCAATAGGACATATTTTTAAAATAGTTTTGTTTTCATCCTGCATTGGCTGCTGCTGAGACCTCTAAAAAACCCTTTTAATAGGAAAGAGAGCACTCATTTTTAATAAATCAATGGAAGGAACTTTAATTTTAAAGGATTATGTGGCCTCTGTGCATGTTCATTTAAAATTTTTCCTTTTATCGGACACAGACCACCTGGTTTTATTCACTTTTACTTAAATTCATTCTAACATTAAATTCTTTTGGTAAAAGCATTCTTTTTATAAAATACAGCAGTGTTCCTAAGTCTCTTAATGTTTGACAAAGAGCCATGAAAGGTGCTCCAAATACCTATGCATATTCTCCAAGGCCTAAAAATATGAATTGCCTTGTTCTGCTATAGCCTTAAATGAAATCACAGAAACTTTACAGAATGATCCACAGATGAGGTTTTTCAATTCTAAATTAACTGAGTTTTTACAATCGAAGAAAACCTCTGTCTTATTGGAACTAGGATTAATTAATGTATACTTTATGACTTACTGTCCATGCTTTCTTCTCTCTTCTTCAGTTCCTTGTATTTCCAGTTTTCCTCTCCTGCAAGAGACATTTATCTGACTTGATATATATAAACAGTTCATATATAGTTGATACCAACTCAATCCTAGAATCCTTCAGGCAGGCAAAATGGCAGTTTTAGAAATAAAAATTCTGCATACCTACAAACTACAGGATGCATTCCATTTATATAAGAAAGATGACTATGAAAAATTCAGTTTCAATGACATTTTATAACATTTAGATATTAGGATTTATAATATGTAAGTGGGGACAAATACTACTTTTGAATGTTTGCAGAAAGTTCATCATTGGACTTATATTGTTTAGACAAAGAAATTTGGTAGAATTTTTCTGAAGTCAAAAAATTAATATATAGAAAAGGTGCACTCATATGTTCAGGTACCATGGTTAGTTAAAATTTTCTGCAATTCTGCATTTGAAGAACTCTTTTTCTTTCCCATAGTTTAATATACTTTTATAGTATATTTTTATATACTAGTAAAGAAAGACATACCATTCAAATAGAAATAGGAGAACAAAAGGCAAAAAAAGCTTTCTACAGTTATGCTTAAGAGCAGATCTCTAGTATATTCTTTATAGTGGCATTAACACATTGAGTACAGAATAGATAATATGGGGTACACAATTCAGTCCATCTTTAAATGCAATAATCTTAACTTGTTACCATTTTTTTAATTGTTTGAGTCTTGCTCATTGATTAAATTTCAGCATATGCTGAATTTAAGGAATGCAAAGGAAAAGAATAAAACACATTTAACAGAGTAAGCACATTTTCTCCGTGTCTTTTTATTTCCACATCCTACTGATTTCCTTTTCATCTAGTACATGCAAACAATAAGAATGCCAGGGGGCCCTGAGGGGGGCTGTGATTTTGCTTTAGCTTCCTTGCAGATGCAGGTCTGTTCCTTGCTCCCTTTCATTCTGAAAGGCAGGTCTTAGACACTTACAACTCAAAGTCTATTCTAACCTTAAGAAGTCTTACTACAGTGAGCTGTGAAATAGGGAGGTACATGATCTGTCAAGTGATTAAAGAAAATATCTATTTGAATTAAAGACTGCAGCCTTTAAAATGTCTTTACAGAGAAGTGCTCTTTGAAAACTGGCATTATTTTTTCAATATCTTAACCATTCATGCAATTTATAAAGTGTTAAATCCATTTTGCTATGAGTTTATTTCCATTTTGACTAATCATTTAAAGGTAGTTTCTAAAACATGAATGACAAACAGTAACTTGATGAGTTATTTATTTAGATTTTTGTAACTGAAAACTAAATTTCTATTTATGATCTGTTTATTTTTGATATTTTGAATACTGTTCCTCTTATGGGAATATTCATACTGTAACATTTTTGCATCTGCATATTTTTCCCCCACAAGCTCTTTTTACTTAAATCTAACAAAAAAAAAAAAAAAGAGTTGACATTTTGCGAGTGCTTCGTGACATACAAGTTAAATACTGAGCCAGAAGTAATTAAAAAGTAAAGCAGGAAGGACAGTGGTAATCTGAAGGACTGCTTAAGATGCTGAGTTAGAGGAGAAGCATAAATGACCTCCTTGGATTTTCTCTCTACCCCGTAGAGAGGGAGCTTTGGGAGATCAGCTGTCAGTTCCAAAAGCTAATCCTTACAGATACATTCTTTATTCTTTCTATATCAGGCTCACTGTTTGTCAGAAAGTAATGAAAAATTCATGTCACTTTATCAGGAATATACTTTGGCATACATTAGTTCTCCTTTATGTTTGAATCAGTGTGAAAAATCATACTCCATTTTCATAATTCATGAGGATAGCACTAGTTCATTTCTTCCTTTGCACAAGATTCTCTAAAAATCTGATGTATGCAGCTCTTTAAAGAGAGAGACGGAAAAAATATATCTGACACAATAACAGCGTATAACAGTCTTTAGAAGTTTAGAATCCCATGATAATTACTTTGTCCATTATACAGTACGAATATGTTCACAAGGAAGAAGTGACAGGAGTTCATCAGAAATTCGCTGCAGAACAGGCAATTTGGTGAGGGTTAAACTCCACCGCCTTTGCTAACTTGTTCCCTCTAGTAGACTGGACTTCCCCATGGCCATAGATTAGCACAGGACTGGCCCAAATGCTTATCAAATTATGTAAACTGGCATAAAACCTGCTTACAGCTCAGAAATGTGAGTTGGCCTCCCTTTTTTGTTAAGAACTATACTGATTCAGTAGATCCTAAATGAGTGCAGAAGAGAGGATGGTAAGTATTCCTGAGCATAGAAGAATTATTATTTCTGCTACTGATTTCAGAAAGAAAAACAAACAGATTCAATGCAGACTTCTACGCAAATTCATAGGGTGACTCTTCTGCACGTGCTTCAAACGCTTAATAGATGTCTTTTTCTAAAAGCAATAAATGATTGGGTATCTAAACCTAAGCTAAAATCACAAAAAAAGCAACTCATTTCTTACCTTCTGCACTTCTCCAAAGATAACAAAAATGTTGCAAAGCCCATGAAAGTAAAATAAAAGCAAAATTGTACAGTTGGAAATATTTTCTGACAACAAGAGAGCTGATAAAACAGTTTTAATTAATTATTTGCACAAAAATAAGTATCTGAAGAAATGCAGAATGGATTTTAATTAAAGAAGCAAGAAGAGAAATAAATATATTAAGCATAGATTTAGGGTCAACTTCAGAAATAATTGTCCATTTTGAAGAAATTCACAGTTATATTTTACACTGAATTTGCCGTGAAAAAGGTAGAAAGTAAAAAGGTCACAAGCACACAAATACATGTGTCATACAGAATTTAAATAATTTGGTACACATTTTTCCAGAATATATACATATTTATGTAACAGCTGTCTAAAGAGAGTTTCCTATCATCAGGAGATTTCTCTTGGGACTAACTTTCATTTAAACAGTCTTTCACAACTATTGCAAGCCTATTCTTAATTTTCTCTAAAACAGTAACTTCTAGCACTAGAACAAAGCCAATCCCAACCTAGTTTAACATTCTACAGAATATTTGTTGCACATAAGTTTCCAGGCTAATTCCATTTCTAGACTGCTCCCAAAATTTCCTTGCAAAGACTGAAAAAATAAATTATAAAGAAAGACAATATTAAAAAGAAAAATATTATGAGTAAGTGCTGCTTACTTGCTGCTGCTTCCACATTCATTGATAAAATTTCTGAACATATAAAATAAAATATATTGAAACTTTTCTAAAGCTGATCTGGTTCTACAATGCTGCCATTTCTGCCTTTTTCTCAAGGAATCCTCAAAACAAAATTGGGACAGAGGACTAGACAGCTGTATTACTTACACCCTATTTCTACTAGTCATTAAAAATCTGAAGAGACCCAAATATGTGAGTGGGTACTTGCAATTTCTCACATTCTAAAAGAGCATGCTTTTTTCCTGTCTGCTTTAGGTCGTCTGTTCGAAGTCTAATAACATTACCTTGATGATCCTCCAGATCCATATCAAGGCGTTGAATGACTTTTCTAAAATGATTTGTCTTTTCCCTTACTTCTGTTAGCCTATTAGTAGATAATGAAAACTGAAGTTAAAAGGTGTTGTCAAATACTTTTATGTTTGAAAGTAATGAAGAGAAGGTTCAGAATAAAAATAGCAAGCCTAAGTTTATCAATAACTAAATAATATTAGGAAAATTACTGTTAATATAAAAGGAATGTGTGAATCACTGGTCATTTTAGTTCCTATACCTACCAAATACTGCTGCTGTTTTATTAAAAACATTTCCATTATGAATCATTGGTATTTGCCAATTGAGTAACCTTACTCAATTAGTCCCTCTGCTGGTTCTTCCACAGCTTTGCAGCATTACAACATGACATATTACCTAGAAGAAACCTTTTTTTTTAAGTAAAATTACATATGTATTCCTAAAATTAGTTAAGAAATTTCCCAGTAGAACCGTATATTGCATAACCAAACCATGAAATGAAATTACCTGAAAAGCATTTTTCTGTAAATTCGCAAATACAATTAACTGTTATTGCTTTTTTATCAGGAATTATTTTAAGCAAATTAGTAGCCAAAGATGCCAATTCAGTTAAAAATGAATAAATGATCATAGCAGTAAATATTGTTTAAAAGTATGCATTTTTTCAATGAGAATTCCTTTTTATTTTTCTATAAAGAAAGAAAAATCAAAAGATTCAAAAGCATGTTGTATTACTTTACTCCTCTTGTGATACAGCACTATTTTTTTTATATTAATCAGAGCTTCTGTTAATCCTCAGAAAGATGATGAAAGATGATGTAAGATGAGCCATGAGTCAGGAAGGAATACTGAGTTGTTCTTTAGAACTTAACCTCTAGTAATCAACCTCTTTAGGCACAGATTGTGATAAAACAAAAGTCCAAAATGTGTGTGCAGTGTAATATAAGCTCAAGCTGTCACAGAAGTTGAAGATGTCACAAATGAATAATTCGTATATAAAAGGATTTGCTTACCACAGTTATCATTATGTCAAACTATGCTCATCCAGAAACACATTAAGATAAGAAAATTTCAATTTGTGCAATTTAGTCTGTGAAAAATAATTTTCTCATAACACACAAAATTAAACAACAACAACAAAAAAACAACAAACAAAACACTTTTATCGACTTCTCTGGCCTTACAACCCTGATAACAAAGAAGTGTGTTCTAGAGGTTTTCCACTGCACAGGGATAATAAAAGATGATAAAAATCAAAAAAATCCGGAAGGAAACTTCACTCAACTTAAATACCCATTTTCTGACTGCTATTTTACTTGAAACTAGGTATTATAGACAACTAGACATTCACTGAGCAAACTGCTTCAGCAAATTAAGATATTATCACCTTCCTCTTGTGAGTCAGTGTCTTTTAGGCTACAGTTCCCCACAAAAGTGTTCATACAATGGAATATGTGTACTCGAACTTCACGCTTTTCTATTTTTTGTTACGTATATTGGCAAAAATCTATCTATGTCACTAATCAAATCCAAAAATTCTTTGTGAATGGGTGTGGCTGAACAGAACAGGCTGTATTCCGAACTCTGTGGAGGGTTTGCACCAGATCAAGCTAAAAAATGTTCTTTCTGTGTCTATACACATATTTTAAATATCTACAGAAACATGTGATGGAATTCACTTATCTGTCTTTAGGAAATAAATGTAATTTGTAGCAGCGATACAAGGGCAGTACTCACTGTCTTTCCATGCTTGCTATTTCTTGATTATCTTCTTTAACCTATAAAAACACATAACTTCCTTAACATAAATAAAATTTAAAAGTTATTATAGGGAATAGACACTCATCATAAAAAGTCACAGGAGTTTACACTATTCTGCAAGTTCTTCACTGAAGTGACATTTAATAGTGTTATCTCTTCAATATGCTTTCTTTCTGAACACATATTTAAAACTTGAACACAGTCATTAATGCAGTCCAACCGCTGGTATAGAATATATGGGTTATTGGCAGCACGGACCCATCTAAACAAACTAAATTACTCCTGCATTAATACCTCTGTTCAAAACCCTAGAAATGATACCAGCTGGACTTGTGCTACAGAACACTTAAATAGGATTCAATTAATTTTCCTGTTCAACACGACTGATAAATTGGTATAGGCTATAAAATTTAAAAGCTTACTGACAAATTTGTTTTGGTTCTGTTCTTTCCAGTGAATCCATTAACTAGAATCAATTTCAGCCGATTTGTACATCTGAGAGAACAACAGCAAAACTGAAAATCTTTTTTTTTTTTTATTAATATTACCATCCCTTATAATACCAAACAGAGAATACTGTAAATGAAATCATTTCAGGTTCTTGCCTGCTTTAGTAATCTCTCTCTTTCCTCCTGTGGAGAATCCATGTTCTTGTCCTCAGTAATTATTTGATTTCGATGTTCCTCAAGCTCATGGAGCTTTTCATACAACTTCACTGCCTCCTGCTTCACTTGGGAGTGTGCTATTTCCTGTTGAGAAAGGCAAAAATTTATTAAACTCTTAGCAATAAAATTGCAGAAATTATGTTTTGGCTAAGCAACATCTATATATTGAAAGGCTTGTTACATCAGTATAAAGAAAAATACATTTATTTATACACTTGTATAAAAAAATCCTTACAGTCTGTAATCTCACCACGATTCATGAATTCATCTTCAAAAAAAATTTATGAGTAAAGTTTCATCTTGATGATTCCTAAATCATCAGTAAAACCCAGTATTAAAATGTTTGCTACCATTCAAAAATGATACTGTCTGAAGATGTTCATGACTGTGTATTTTAGCTCATGGATACATTTTTCTGCAAGAGATCCAATGTAAGAAACTTTTCCTTATTGTAACAAAGTCACGGTACGTTATGTATGTTTATAACAGAAAAAAAGTATTCCTCTGTCAATTACCACTTGTGTTTGAAATGTCATTTACTTGTGAAATAGAATATGGAACAATAAAATCATTTTTATGCAGAGTAAAGGTTGATAATATGCAGAACAATTAAGTCTCACAACTACTTACAAAGGCTCTGAATGATAATTTCATATTTATCTTCAGAGAATTCCCACTAAGTCAAATGTCAAATAGAATATTTAAAAATCACATGAGTAACTAAGACTAGGAAACTTCATTGTATCAAACTTTTGTACTCAACAGCTGGCAGAAAATTGGTTTTGATATTAGAGCGTGAAAGACTGGTATGATGACCAGTTGTCGTCATACATACATAAAGAATGCAAATATTTGTTAAGAATTAGGACTTGGTGAGATTTACCTTCTTGTTCTATAGCTTAGAATTTAAAATTTCTCATTGATCTTTTTCAAAATTACAAAAGATAGGATTGTGTCGAGCTTCTCCAAATAGCTCAAGTATAAAATCCACATACTTTCAGCATCTGACTTTTCCGTTTAAAATTTTGTTATTTGCAGCTATTATCAAAAATTGCTTGTACTTTCTTGTACCTATTTCTTAAAAGCAGTATTAAGAGTGGAATTGATTGTTTCTACTTCAGATCTTTGAAGCCAGTTACTCAAACATGACCTAGTTTGCTCAGTTAATTTATAGTCAGTAAAAAGATGGGTTGCTTCTGACTAGTGAATCAGCTCATCCTAAAAGATCTGCTTCACAGATGTGAAGCATCTACCTTAGAAGATCCTTGTCTTTATATTTGCCATACATGCAGTGTTATTAAAAATGCATGTCTGAATTTAGATGAAGTTATAACTACCCTAGAACTCTTGTTTCTTTTGTTAGTTATTAGGATTAGTTAAGACAAGTGTATTTTCAAAAGCCCACTTCACTTTTCTTCTTCATCCAGACTGACAATTACAGTATCAACAACAAAGTCAGATCCATTTTATTGCACTGGAAGAAATATTTCCATTTAGAGTGAAATAAAAAAAAATGCTGGGATTGCATCATCTTTTTGCATGTTTTCCACACATGTGACTAAGTATCTAAGCAGCGCAGAGGTTCTTGAAAGCTACATGTGCATCAGTGCCCAGATTTGAAAGGAAGAAAATGATGAACATTATTTTGCTTTTAGTCAGTTGCTCAACTTAGAAAACTTCAGAGCTGAGTTATATCATACAAAAGCTTGCTGGTATCTTAATCATCAGTATATTGTAGGAATTCCTGAAAAATAAGTTGAGCAATTGACTTATGGAGCTGGATTCAGAAACATTTAGGTAAGTACTATTAAATAAACCAACCTGGCAGAGTTTTTCATTTGCAGTCTTCATCTCCATATATTTAGTCTGATTTTCCTGAGACATGTCTTTTATTATGTCATCTGCTACTTTTTTTTGACGTTCAATATCTTCTTCCACAGCTTGAATTAATTTTTCTTTGCTGTAAAAATAGCATATGTTCACAACCTTTACTAATTGATGCTTCCTTTAAGCACCCATTTCAAACTCTGGTTTGAAATCTGGCTTGAAAATGAACCCCTAACTTGGAAGAGAAGTAATCTTTGTGTATTTATCTTCTTGGGACTGCAGGAGCTATATGAACACTCTTAACCACACCCTACAGCAAATGAAGGCTTCTTTGCCCTCACTGTGCCCATACTGTTTCCTAACATCCCCACACTGTCTGCAAGTATAGAAATGAAGTGGAATTCTCCCAGTCAGTCGCAATGAGTGAATACAGATTGGGCAGTTTGAAATAAAGACGCTGGGATATGATTTGTGAATGCTTATAAGGAAAACACATTATAAAGATATTAGGTCTCAAAGATGCCAGATAGTGATGATTAGAAGCCCTTCTATCAATGATTTGTTGGGTTTTTTTTAAGAATAGGGAGCTATTTAGGATTATTAGCTAGTGTGGAGCTTCAAGAAAGACCTACAATGCCCAGGAACCCAAGGCATGTGAGAAAAATCCCACTAGTTTGGCCGTCCGCAATACCAAGATGCTTTGGAGCCTGATGATAAAGAAACAATGATCTTCTATGTTCCTTGGCAAAGTTGTAGTGCAGTGGCAAAGCCCAAGAGACACTGGATGAAGGCAGATGGAACAGGATCTTGAGAGTAAAGGTGGTTTGTTTAAAGCTAGTCAAAGGAATAAATCCCCTGCAGTAAGTATGCTATTCTATGAAAGGATTATAATGTTCCTTCTCAAGGCGGAAAGGCCTAACTTCTTAAATGAAGCATGTTCTTATGGTAGTAATTTGCTTCAAGACTCTGCAGACACCACAGAATGGGAGATTAGCAGTCAGCTTTCAGGGATCTTCTCCTTATCTATCTGTGCCCACAAAAACTGTTGCAAGGTCTCACCAGTAATGGCTTCTCTCAAATCAACCTCAGCTGAAGACAAAAATGAAAACAGAATTGGAAGGATGCAAGAAAATGACAAGGATGTATCTAGAAAATATCCCCACAGTAAATATAACCATTCTGGAGAGAATGTCAGCGCCACTCACTGACACTGTAACAGGGAGCTTACCTTAAGCACAAACAGTGCCTTTTTCTGGAAATATTAGAGCATTTAGGGAGGAAAAGAAGACTACTACTTGCTACATTCCTCCTGTGTTCCAAAACAGCATCCAGAGCACATTGTCACTATTGAGGCCAGTGACAAATCCAATCTAAACTGAATTCTCCTGACCTGTGTCTGAGACTCCAAGTTTGTATGGTAGAATAAGGAAAGAAAAATCGCTTCCTCAGCTCCTTGGATTTATCGTGGGTGCAGCCATGTTACTGAGGAGCCTGCTGGCCTGATACAAGTCTTTCTTCTTATATGATGTGAACACAGAGCAAGATCCCTGAAACTAATCCCGTATATCTGCGATACCAAAAATCTCTATCTAGGCACAGATTATCTGGTAGTCTACTTTCACAAAAGGTAAAGTGTTCTTTTTTCTGAAAAGTAATTAAAAATATTAGCAATAACACTGACATGAGGATAATTTACTACTACAGATAACGTAACTTTTGAAGACCACTGGGGAAGCCAAACCAAGGTGAAGGCTTGGAAAAGTTCCAGAACATTCTGTAATATTAACAAAAATCAAAGTGGCAAAAACATCAAAGCAAACCAGTTAAGTAAAATACTTCATGCTCAGCAAAGCATTTGAGAGCAATGAGAAAGAACACCAAGCTAAACACATCTGTAGTTTCCTGGTATGCGTTGGAGCAAATGAGGCTTAGAGAATAAGTACCAATACAACAAAAAAATTCCATCTATACTGGTTGTACATCAATATAATTCCTTTGTGAATGTATATAAACATGCTCTCCAACATAACTATTATTTTATTTCATATTTTCTTCATAAACATGCTCTCAAATGTAAGTATTATTTTCTTTCAGATTTTCTTCAAAAAATATCACCCATATAACACATACCCCTAAATGACTAAAACTCTTTGAGGATTATTAAATATTATTTACTTGATGGTTGGATCACATTAAAAAAATAAACAAACAAAAAACCAAACTTTCTTTAACTGAGCATAACCCAACTTGCCTGTAGTTTCCCATGGCATTATACTTCAGTGCTTCCTGGGTGATCTGGAACTTAACACCTAAGCATAACTATTACACATTCCTATTGGCTGCAGACCCAATTAAATCTAAGACCATTATAAGGAATTGCTCAACCTAGTCAATCTTTTGCTAAAGATGTTCTAGCTTGATTTTTTTAAAAGCTACCTGCTTATTCATCAAGTACAAAGGTTGAAAAAGAACAAGTGCTGTTGCACCATATTACTGTCACTGCACAGCAAAGCACACTCCTTTGTACATATGCTGTCTCTAAAAAGCAACAGAAAGGTAAGGCACTTGGCATAATATCTTTTTCAAAAGGCAAAGATTTGCTAGAATATTTTTTCTTTTTCTCTAATTCTTTTTATGTAAGCTCCACTACTTCTCTAAGTCTGTCTTTTTCTTTACAAATACAAGAAAAATAACAGCAATCATTCAAATGAATCAATCTTTAAAGCCTCTCCAAGGAAAACACTTCTGAGCTCAAGTTAAAAGATATTATCAATATATTGCCAGCCTCAACTTCTTTCTAAAGTGACAATTTTAAATGACATACTTGAACATGGTTTTAGATAAAAACTACATTGCAATTAAATATGGAGGGTTTCCTGTTCTTCTACTGATTGCAAGGCTTCCTTCTCACCCACTGCACAGTAGAAGAAATCAATTTTATAGAAAACAAAACCAAAAAAACTTCAGAATAGACATGAAAGTAAAAGCCCAGAACCATGTTTGACATAAACATGTTGCATGAATTTTTAAGGGAGAAGGGTTTTTGAAGTTGATAGCATCCTTTCATTCAGAATTATTAACTTTTTAACTTATTTTTTTAAGATTTCTGATTTGCTTAATTTTTAACTTGATTAACTGGTATTAACTTACAGACTGGCTAATTTAAAATAAGCATTTCCCCCATTTTATTAATTAGAAAATTTTCATTTAAAACTGCAAACTAAAATAATATTGTTAATTTCTTTCTAGACTGCCTGGTTAAGGCCTGCTCTCTTTCTGGATGGTTTAGAAGAAGATATGTATGAGCTCAAAGTATGCCACAAGTTCCAACTGCAAATATAGTCTGCATCAGGAATTTCAAACTGCTATGTTCACCATTAGTAGTATACAGGGCCATAGTATCATCATCATCAAGAACAGTACCTAATATCACAGCGACCGCTGTTGTTAGTATTCCTTGTCCTTACCACTGATAGTTATCTCGTGAAAATATCAGGTTTATGAACTTGTTACATATTTATTATACAACAGCGGTAGATGCAAACAATAGGTCAGAGTAGTAAATAGGCCATTTATCATGTTGTTCTTTTAAACAAAGTAAGAAAGTTACCACATTGATTCAGGTAGGTCAACAAATTCAGTCAGTGCTACATAGAGACACAAATGCATAGAGGCAATCAATTAGTTTTGATCAGTTTGGCATATAATCTCACCTATTATGATGTGATTTAGTGAAGGCTTCCTAGATCCCTTTTTAAAAAGTGGTGGAGATATTTCGTAATCTGTCTGACTTCACAGATTTGGTATTATTCTTTATTGGTACAATAGAACTTCCTTGTGCATTTCTTACTTTGTCTGACAAATTTGTTCTTATGTCTGATAAATTCAGCAAATACACTCGATTGCTTAAGATACAACAAGCATTTGAAACAACTGTTTATATCATGTCTTTTTTCTAATCTTTTAGAGACTGCAGATGCTTTAAAAAAAGTCCAATAATACCACCAAAGTAATAATCTACCTTTTTAGTTCAAATGTGCTGTAAAGAGAAATCATTTTAGTATTTGATGGAAAAAAAAATAGTATGCCTGTTCAGAATGAGTAGATCTTGAAAAAAAATACATGATTTTCAAGACAACATGGGTAATTAATTTTTTTTTTCCTGAGAGAAGCTAATCTCAGAAAAGCTCTCCTGACTTCCAAAAAATAAGGTACGTGTATCTCTTAAAAAAATCCAGCACAGACTGAATCAAGTTTCCATAATTCTAAAGATTAAGGTAACGATTACACCTTAATACTGCAATGGCGCATGTTCACATGATATATGTTATAATATGGATCATAAATGTCATAAAGAAGGTATACATTATAAATTCACCAAAAAAATGCTTAAGAGCATAGATAAAAATACAGAGATGTTTGACGGGACAAACCAATATCCATCTAGTATATTATTCTGCCTTTATCAGTGGCAACAGGAGAAGTTATTTGGAGAAAGCATGCAAGCCTGGACACTTTCTGCAGTTTATTCATCTCATATTATTTTAGTATCCATAACTGCTTTCTCAGGGACACTAATGAGTTCACCCCTACCTATTCCTTTTACTCATTTATGAATCTGCTGTTTACTAACTTGAGTAGCCTCTTTTTAATCTGCAGATTCTATCTGGTCACTTGATTTTAGGTTTGTCTCAATTTTGCCTAATACACTAAGGCTGTTAATGTAAGATTTTATTCCTCACTTTTTATTTAACAATACAGATTATTATTAAGAACAAAATAAATTATCATGAAATAATTATATCTATTAATATTTTGAAGAACTACACTACATAAGTGATGGAAATTATGGTCTTAATATACAAAAAAAATGTTCTTTTTTGCTAGATTCTGAAAATGAAACTCTCTTGGCTCATGATCTGTGCTGAAATACTATTTTTGAATCCAGTCACAGCTGACTGCAATGTTACTTCTCAAACAGTAAGTTTTACCAGTATGTGAAAGGCATTCTAGAAACTGAAAAAAAAAAATAAAACAAAGCTATGAGCACCTAATACCTGAAGAAAGAAGCACCCAGAGGGAGAAAAAAAAAAAAGAAGCATGGATACACTTTGAAATACTCTTAGACAAATCTCACTGCAGACCACAGGAGCATATGCCTTGTCTTTACAGTGTTTTGAACAGACCTAAAAGCCATTTTTTTGAGTTTTGTTGTTGTTGTTTGTTTTTGGAAAGGCTAACTACTACTCAAGCTAAAGAAGGTTACTGGCACAGCAGCTGCCCAATATCAACTCTGGCTCAGTCTGGCTACAGCAGGAGCAAATAGAGCATGAGCTACTTATACTGAAAGAGGAATAATATAAACACTACTCAAGAACTAATTTAAAGCCAGTTAAAGTATCTTGACACTTCACTCTAGCCTGCAGTGACGCACACATACATAAAAGGAAATCTACTCTTTCCAGAAAATATAGTATGCTTGAAGGTATTGAGAGTAAACACTCTCTAGCCTAAAAAGGCTACAGCAAATTTTAATCCAGAAACACAAAGCAAATTCAAGTGACTTATTTATAATAACAACATGCACATAATCTTTTGTTGAAAGTGTATTCCAAAAATGCTTTTAAAAGTAAACATCATAAAGAATACATGAACACATGAATGTGATTGAATACATGAATGTGATTTCCCAACTACAGGAAAAGGAATCCTTTTTATATACACTCAACAGTGCTACTAATTCCAAAATAGTATGCCAAATTGGTTATATTTTGGATGATAATCACATAGAGAGCTTTGTACCTCAAAGAGATTTTATATGATTCGTAACTTCAGGTCTTTGATACACTAAACCAAATAATTCAACACATTATGAGTAAATTTAGAGAATCAATCAGAATTATAGGTAGAGCTTCTCTTTCAAAGCGCTAGCATGACCAGTTATAGAAAGGGCTTTTTTTTCCATCAGTAGTCAGTCACTGCAAGTCAGTCATCATCAGATTTTTCTAAAGCAGTTACTTTAATTCTCGATGTTTTCTTTTTTTCAACAGGTCACATGTGATGAGTCTGGAAAGAAACTCCATACTATTCCCAATAGTCTTTGGCAAAATGTTACAAAATTAAGCCTCAAAAATAACAATATAACTTTAAACGATAATGACAAAAGGGTTCTTCAAAGGCATACTAACCTCACTGAACTCTACTTGAATAAAAATCTAATTACTGTACTATATAATAACAGTTTCTGCAATCTGGCAAAACTCAAAATTCTAGATATCAGCAATAATTATATTACCACAGTACACCAAGCAGCATTTGCAGGCTTGAATCAGTTGTCAAAGTTGAATCTATTCCATAACCACATTACTCAATTAGATTCAGATGTATTTACATCACTAAAGATTCTGACAGTTTTGAATTTACAGGATAACCTATTGAAATCTTTCCATATAAAATCATCTTTTAAGTTGATTACAATCGTCTTAGCTGGAAATCCATGGAACTGTTCCTGTGACCTTCTTGATCTACAGAAATGGCTAACTACCTTCAATGGGACAATGGGTACGTTTTTGTAAAAGACAAATTTCGTAACTTTTTATGTTGAACAACCTTATCTTTCATTGCTGTTTTTCTGATCCGAATAATATCCAGCACCAACTTACTCCTAAATCACATTTTTCAGTAATAAATTAATTATCCATGGACATGTTTAAGATCAGCTAATTAATTAATTAATATTACAGATTTTTCATTTTTTATATTCACAGAAGATGAAAACAACACTCTATGTACATTTCCAAACGCCCAGAAAATGATTTCTATCAGGACTGCAGTTATCCAAACAACAGACTGTGGTTTAAAAAAAAATTCTTTAGAAACCACTGTAACTTCCACTTCTGCCAACAAGCTTAAAAGCTTTTCCTCCCTAACATTTCTGTCTCCTTCAAACAACGTCACTGGAAACAATGGAACGCGGGCAGGTAATATATTGATGCCTTCCTTTACTGAGTATATGCTATTCAAATTGCTGTCTGATGCTTTAATAGTGTTTTATATTCCTAGTGTATGGGATGTTCTCCATAAAAGCTAGGGCTATGACAAAACACCTATTTCCAGATTTCACCAGACTGCAAGCACAGCATAGCAAATGTTCACATTTACTTAACAAGTACTTATAATAAATAAACCACACCTTAAATCTCAAATCGAACTATAATGATTTGAAAATTTCAAAGGATTAAAATTCAAACAATTCTATAGATCTGCATAGAAGAATTAGCAAAGCACTTTATAAACTGCCACCTGTAGTTGCCATCTTAATACGTAAAAGAGCAAGCCCATTAATTGTAGCTCTTCCCTTTGATGCAGTTCAACACAAACGATATGGATTTGCCTGCTCGAGGTTCTTTAAAATCTTCACCTCTTGACACTAATTTCATCATCACTCAGTAATACTCTGTCTTTCCTTCTGGTAAAAAAACAAACAAACAATTGTTTTCCTCTTCCACTCAAATTGTTTCTCTCTGCTCTTCCATACTGAAATGCTACACTCCTTATGTCCAACTACAGCAGAAATACTGATCTCCAGATTTATAAAGAGAATAAATCATCGCAAACTCCTTTTGCTGTTGCAGCTGAATGAATTCTAAAGCAGTAGCCATTTTACTAAAAAAGAAAAACATTTGTAAAAACAGACTATGAGCACCAGTCTACTAAATGACCAATCTACTTCAATTTTATTACAGAAGAAATCATTAATCATTTAGAGACACTAGTTGCCCTGTAATCTTCTATTGTGCAAGTTCAATACAAATATGAAGAAAATAATACTACAGTTCTTATGCATGAAGATATTTTTTTCTTTTCTGTTTTAAAGAGTTACCACTTCTTGGCAAAAGTTGGACCTTCCTAGGGGGTGTCTTAGGGTTTGTCCTAAGTACTACACTCCTGATTTTTACTGCTGTAAAATGCCCAACATGGTATCGCTATTTGATCAGCTACAGTCACCGACGACTGGAAGAAAATGACTGTGATATGTTTGAACAAGAGTTTTCGGCTGACATGAATTCTTTTCCCACTGCATCAAGTACAAATGATGAACATCCCATAGTAATATTTGAGAAAACTCATGCATTTGTGCCTGAGGAAGATGGATTTATTGAAGATAAATATATAGATACTCATGGAATATCTGAGGAGAGCTAATTTCTTACGTAATGGATTATCTGACTTTCAAGACTGTAGTAATCTTGTTCAGATTAGTCAAGCCTGCATATTATGTTACTTATGTACTTATGATATAAAATGACACTGCGCAGTCTATCTCCTTCTATTTCATCTGGTCAAATTTGTAACAAGGTAATGAGGTATGAATCAAAACCAAAAAGTAAAAGAAGTATCAAGCATCACTGTCATAAGAAATATTCCAAAATATATAAGAATATAGAGCTTCTATTGTACGCTGCTTAACATGACCAAATCTTTACACAGCAGCTGTTGGCACTGACATTATTACTGATTGTTTAAAGATAAGAAAGCCCAGAAAGGAAAAATAACTTAGCCAAAGTGCTGAAGCAAACTGCAGACTGAATTCAAAGTATTAACATCAAAGCTCAACAGCTGACAATTAAAACTAACATCTTCCAGCTAGAAAGTGATGATTTTTTTTTCCACTGGAATTAGCAGAATAATAGACTAACTTTTCTGCTAGCTTAAATGTGTTCACATATAATGAAACAATAAATTATCATTACTGCATACTTAAAGCCTTTATTTGTTATTTTGCTATTGAAACTTTTTTTTCCTCTTAATGTTCTATTAGCACTTGAAAATACATTCAATGGAATAAAACAGATATATTTAAAAGCTGTTGAAACCAAAGTATTATTGCAGAATGGCTTGTTATTAAACAGCAAATTGCTAGTTTTTAGAACACAGTATCCTTATTGAATTATACACAGGAAACAACAAAAAATGTTATTGCTAATGTATTTTTTCTTTCACAAAAGTGAGTATAGATTAAGTGTGTAACAATGTTCTGCTTTGTATAGTTTCATCCAAAGTAGTTTAATATTTACAGAATGAAAAAATAAGAATCCCAATGTGATTTTTATCTATTCTTGGACAGTCAGTAGTTGTGTAAGTACACACAGAAGAATTCTCACTAGTAAATTAAAAATATATCACAAAATTTTGTGTACAGGGGAAAATGCATTTTTTTAATTGTACTTAAGAATCCAGAATTAATTTTCAACATCTTTATATGTCAGCTGTGAAGATCATACCCAAACCAGCAAGGTTCTGAATCTAGAAATGTTATCTAAGAATCCCTGAGGCACTTAACCTATGCAGCCATCTCATTTACTGATTTTAAAATTTCACAGACAGATAGACACAAATGTGCCTATGTGCATGCACAGAATCATGCAGCAATGGCAGCAGTGATGCTATCCAAAATGTAAGTATTCCTTTGTCTGAGTATCTAGAAGAATCCACCTTGATGACAGCTCAATGCAAAGTAGAGAAACAAGATGAGAAGACACAAACAAGTATCCACCTCTCTAAAGTGAGTCTCTTAACCAGTAAGTTAAACTGTTATACACAGCCATGTAGAATAAAAACATTTCTGAGTGTTTCACCTAGTTAGAACTATCATCATTATTAAATCACATTGAAAATTATTTTAAACCTTACTTTAGAAGTCTACTAGACATGTAGAAGTTGCCTGTACTATAGACCATATTGAAATTATACAGTATAGAAGTGGTACACAAAAATGTTTAGGTGAATTTTCCTGTCTTAAAAACATAATTCGGTGGCTGAGGCATGCAAATAGCATGCTTCCAATCCCAGAGAAAGCTACCACATGTTAGTTAAAATGGGAATTCCCATTTTCAATTTGGCTTGATTCTCTATTGGCAAGAGATGCCCTTAAAACATCAGTGTCAAGCACCTTTTGCTCTTTTCTGTAAGGGAAGCACAGGATGGGGTGTGACAGCCCTGTGGCCTTTGTAAGGTAAAGGTTTTTACTACTGACATTAATACAGGGAGCATCAAGGGAAACATTTGCAACATAATTTTTATCTTGTGCTTCCTCCTGTCAAGTCTTCACTTCCTAACTTACACAGCACAACTCTACCTCCAAATATCATGACTTTTACATTCGGTCCCCAAAACCAAAGAATCTCTACTGCCTGAGCGAGATAGTAAGCCTCTCCGTGAGAGCTACTCAGAAGAGTTAAAAGCCAGAAACTCCTGCTCATTGCACGCATAAGCACATTAAGCACATTAGGGAACTTCTGCATTACATCACTCGCAGAATCGCATAATGGTTGAAGTTGGAGAGGACCTTCAGAGATCATCTAGCCCAACCCCCCTGCTCCAGCAGGGACACCCAGAGCACGTGGCACAGGGTGGCATCCAGGCAGGTTTTGAAGATCTCCAGAGAAGGAGACTCCACGACCTCTCTGGGCAGCCTGTTCCAGGGCTCTGGCTGTCTAGCTCTGGAAGCAGTTCTTCCTCACATGAAGATGGTAATTCCTGTGTTTCAACTTGTACCCATTACCCCTTGTCCTGTTGCTGGCCACCACGAAGAAGAGTTTGGCTACATCTTCTTTACACTTCTCAATCTTCCCTACTTTACAAGGGTCAAATGTAATTTAGCAACTTCAGAGAAGCATATACATAATGTACTTACGCTTGTTTTTCTGTAAAAATTACATCCACACTCTGAGCTTCCCGGTCATTCTGAACTTTCAACTAAAAAGAAAACAAACCCAACAAAATTACAAACTAACAAAATACAAACTATATGCACAAATTCAAGGCTGCATTTAAATGATCTAGAGGTTGCTCAGAATGCAGTACAGCAATGAGCAGCAGAGGCTTCCTGCTCCAGAATTTTTCCCAAGTGAAAGTGTTGAACGGCTTCTGCAATTGCATTCTTCCCCTGAAAATCAAGTGAAATAAGATGTCTCTATATTTGAGAATGAAATACAATCAAGTCTGCAACAAATTAATTCACCAGCTTCTACTGTGGAATTCACTGATGGGATACTTCCTTTGTTGACGGGATACTTCCATTGTTAAACCTACTGACAAGGTGATCTTTTGCAAAGCATTCTTGTTTTATGATATGAATGTTGTGACTTTATTTTTCCATTAAATCTGATGGCTAAAAAATACTTAGATGGCTTTTCATTCTAACAAAACGATCCTTTCTAACATTAGTTCCTTTTGCTTTGCAAAATGAGCATGTGGAATGGAGCAAGCTTAATGGCTCTTAAGGCTTAGGGTCACATTCTTACTGACTTTGAAAAATCAAGAAAACCTTAAGGAAGAGCAAAGTTCATGGTTTCTGTTGTTCATCATCCATATACCTATTTAATGATTATTACACTGAAGTAACTCAAAGGGCAGAAAACAACAGTACTAAATAAAGTTCCAAAAGCTCTGGCGGCTATGCATGGTGGCACAGTCCTGTGAGTCTGCCTTTCAGAAGACCTGCATTCTATGTTTCCTATGCAAATAAACAACACATTTTAGCTCTCATAGATTGTGTTGGGAAGACAGCCTTCTCTAATGTAAAACACATAAGCACTATCATGGAGTTCAAAAGACAACACTTTAGGCAATTATCTCATTACCACCATATATCATCAGCATTATACTCAATACATCCGGGAAAAAAATACAGAATTTTTAAATTAGATCTATGTATTTTCTATATGTGATAGAATAACAGGTGTTCAAAGTACCAATAATGTAAGTATACCTTTTCATTATATGTTGAAACACAGCAAACCTCCTAATTCTTACCATATTGAAATCACTAATCATTTCTGATGTATCAGTATTGGTGTTAAGTTTATCCACGAGCTGAAACAAGACAGAATTCCAAGCTATTAGTACTCTCTTTTAATTGCAAAAGAAAAAATCAGACAAACAGGTACCATCAGGTACATAACAGGTACACAAGTGAAGTGATCACTTGTGAAATGACAACAAATTTCTAGTTATGCAAATAGAAAAAAGTGAAAATCTGAAGGGAATATCAAGAAATTAAACATTTTTCAGTATCATCATTTTTATACGGAATTGTACAAAATCAACAAATTTAATGCAGCAGTACCTTAAACATACATGCCGCTGCATCTCCAGTATTTTCTTCTTTTATATTTTCCCCTAAATTACATTTCCCTCCTTTTCAATAACTGAAGAGAAGGAAGTATTAACTAGCATATTTTTATAGACATGTTGCATTTGAGCAAAAACAGTACAAAGCAGAGGACAGAAAGGACAATGCCGAGCATGCAAAAACCGGTAAAAGCATACCATGTTGTAGTCTGCTAGCTGACCTTGAAAGTCTTTGATTTCACCAGCTAAAGCCTCTGCCCTAAATACAAAGCAAAAAGACAAACTTACAACAGCAAGCACTGCATACATAAAAAGAAATATTATCCTCAAATATAGTCTGTGACTGAAAGTTTAGTCCAGTAGCTGAAATACATCTCACCTTTTCTCATACGACAGATAGACAGAATTCTCTTGCTTGTACATTTCCACTTCCTTTTGCAGCTTATTAATTTCTGCTGTAAGATCATTTATTTTACTTCTGCAAAAAGCATGAAACAAACAAACAAAAAATTACTCAAACCTAAATATAAAACTGAAAAATAGAAGTAATATAAATTACATCTTATTATGAGTTATGTGAAATTAGTAGCACTTTATCACACTGTTATGGAAAGCCTCAGACAAGAACGCAGCCATGGAAACAATCTTTGCCGCTGTCCCTGGGACACCATGAGAGAGTACGAACAAAACAGCAAACACGGGTTGAAGATAAAGATAAGGACCACTGTATCTGCAAGTAACCAAATGAAACTGGGCAATTGAGTCAAAACAGGACCCTTTCCCCACCTGCCACAGGCCAAAATGAGACCATATATGGAAGTGTGTTACCAGAGTTCAGCAAAAGGGCTCCAAAAGATGACCACCATGGGTATCCACCATGGGAGAAATAAAAGTATTTGCAAACACAACTTAAGTGATGAAGGATAGGAGGAACTATTCTTTGTGCATCCATTGCTGCAATTAAGTAAACGTCTGCTTCTTAACACTACATTGATTTTAAGAGGTTTATTCCCCATTTCGGTGACAACAGTGTATCATGCTTCCAATCAGCTCTTTGGAGAAAAAAAAAAAAAAAAAGAGCTGGAAATATGAGGAAGAAAGCAAAGCAAAGCAAAACTCTAGACAATTAATCGAAAATTGGATATGAAATAAAACGTTTTGTCCCATCACTAAGCGAGCTGTGAATTCTTCTCAGATTGATAGGGAAAAAAAAAATCTCTTCAGAGCACTTATTCAATACTGCAATGTGGTCAGGTCACAAAATAGCATATGCTATACAGTTCCATAATGGCTTTGTTGTGCTGTCTATAATCAGATGGAAGCATACACGTGCTTAATTTGACATGCTGCTTTGTACAACAGGAGTTGTCAAATCTATCAGAAAGTATAAAGGTAAGCTCACAATGCCATACTCACGTTACTAAAACAAGTGGAAAGCGCATTTAACTTAACAGGACAAATAACAAAACAGCAAAGAAAGCTACTTGCATCTAAACATAAACTTCTGCTCCCTTAAAAGTATTCACAAAATGACCTTCATAACTCTTATTAAAGAGAGATTTCATCATGAATGAACCTGTATTGTCATTAAACAAAACTCTTAAGTTCATGTTGCTGTAGTTCATTCTTCAGAGTAACTCAGAAAGAGAACAGGGCAGTAAACTTCCTATTGTTAACACATACCTCAGCAGTCCAAGATAATAGGTTTTATCCATTATCTGTCTCTGAGGACCTGTCAAAAGAGAGCAAATCGCATTTTGTTAGAAAGCTGTTCATTCTGATAACCTGTAAATTACAGGAGAAAACAAATAAAAACAAAGACAGAAATCTGCAGTATTTTACAAACAGAAAATTGCCACATTCTTCAGTGTTTTCTACATAGGAAAACTGAAGTGAGAAATTCATTTTAAACTTCAGTGAAGCTATCTGAACATTTAGTGTCTAAAGAAATATTGTATCTTGTTCTGCAGCCTTGCAAGAAGATACAGTTTACATCTTTCTCTTCAAGGATTTTGAATGAGTTGCAAACATCATAACAAAGTTTATACACAGAAAATAGTTTTTCTGATTTTTTCCAAAAAAAAAAAAAACCTTATTTTGGAAAAACCTTACTTTATTTTCCAAAGGAAAAAAAAGAAGGGATGCATTAATCTTACTTTTCTTTCTCCTACTACTCTTACTCAACAGTTATTCAGCCTGCAATTTCTACTACAGAGGGGAAAGGAAGGAAACGAAACCTTTATTTTCCTTTATTATTAAAAATATATTTCTTCAACAAGATTTCAAACATATTGATAATTGTTTTCAGTAAATAATACCTTTTGTTCCCATTTTCATTCCACTTAATCCCTGTTGCGTCACTGGACGGTCAGCAACTTTAATCTGAGATGACAACACTCCTGTAGTACTTGAAGAACCACCACGAGAACCAGGTCTTGATGTACTAGGAGGCATCTAGATGAAAACAAATAAACAATTTTGAATTATGATTTCTTTATTCTTACGCAACTGCCAAAGCAATCAAAATTATAAGAGTGAGACACCTTTAAGCTTTGGAAAGTTCATCTAGCAATCTTTTAGTGTTTGTACACCTCCTAGCAAACAGGCCTTAGCCAGATGTCTTGCTGTAGGAAGGTGGAATGACCACTGTGCAGCCTGCTCATTGCTGTCTCCATCTCCCACTTAGCTGCTTTTAAAATATGCCAGAAGCACTGTCTATGCGAGGCGCCAAGGGGCACCCTTCTGTCAGAACTGCATGGTCTGAAAAACAAGAAAACTTGCATTTCTTCCTGAGACTTTATCAGTCCAGTCATGGTAGTCATGGTACTACTCATGGTTTGTCTCATAAACAAAAACAAACAAAAGAAACCAAAAAAAAATCAAAACAGATCGAAGTTAACATTCTTTTTTAGACACAGACCCCTGTTCCAATTCTGGTCGCTGATGGAGCCCTCAGGGAAGAGGTGGGCCTTGCTGCCACCCCCACCCCTCCTCTGGAAGAGGGGCGCGCTGTGGGCGGCCTGTGGTTACTGGACATCGCTGCTTGCTCCTGGAAAGATGCACAACAAGTGTTTCCTTGAATTAAAAATCACTAGAATTTTATAAATCCCGTAGCTCCCCAGGGCGGGCGCAGAGGCATCGCGAGCGGCCGCCGAACCTCGACAACGACGCCCGTATCGCAGCAACGCCAGGGCCAACCGCTATCGCGGGATGCGGAAACCCCGCTCAGGCCTCGCGCTGCGAGCGAGGACTACATCTCCCAGGGTGCCTCGCGGCGGGGGAGTGCCCGTCGTTCTTGCGAGCCCTTTCCTCGAGCGCTGCCGGCACGGGCAGGACGTGCGCGGCCTCACCAGTAGCCTCTTCCCGCACGGGGCCTTCGTGTCCGTGTCGCGGGACCGCACTGCCCGCCTCTGGGCTCCCGACGGGTGAGTGCCGCGCCGCCATGGCCGCCATGGCGCCGCGTCCCGCAGCGGCGCGGCGGGAAGGGGCAGTCCACCGTGGGCCAGGCCGGGCGGTTGCACCCCATGAGCGCGGCCCCGCTTCGCCGGTGGCAGCTTCTTGCTGCGCCCGCTCCTCTGCGGGGAAGCGTGGTGTATACCCGGCGTTTAGCCGCGTTTTGGCGTTTTGGTCAAAAATTTCAGTCTACATCGGTGCCGACGATCTCTGTGAGGGTAATCGCTTTGCTTTCTAGAGCACCACTGCGTTTTCGTTTGACTCTGCTGAGCGTTAGAGTGATCTCCTCACGTAAAAGTATTCTGGGTTTTGGTAATAGGGCACTTCATTTTGAATGTTTTTAAGAAGCCTTTTCTTCCCTTGCTGAGCAGACTTTTAAGAGCATGGAATGAATTACGAATTTTAAAAAAATACACAGAAAGCATATGTATACAAAACATATGCAAAAATGTACAAAGCATGCGAGAGCATTTGCGAAGAAAGGGAATCTGTTGCTGTTTTCTCTCACTGTGCATTCTGCTTTCACAGTACGATTGTCAAGTGGCCCTGCCAGTCATTCCTTTTTCCTTTTTTTTTTTTTTTTTTTTTTCTTTCCCCCAGCATGTCTAAGATACTGCTCAGCAGTGTAGCTGTGAAGCTGTGAGGTACTGGTCACTGCTGCAAGCAGCGAGGCGTATTTGCTCACTTATCTATAGCTTCAAACTGGGAACAGTACCCTGAAGTCACTAGACACGTGTTTTTTTTTTTGTTGTTGTTGTTGTTGTTGTTGTTGTTGTTGTTGTTTTGCTGCCTTTCATTGAAAGAGAGATAACCAGCAATTTTGCCTGAATGCTTATGTATGTTTTTTATCAAGTGGATATAGGTGGATATAGTGGATAATCAGCTCTGCAATTAAGAGTGAGGAAGAATTATCTAGGTGTGCCCCATGGAATCACTTCTAATTAGAGAAAGAACTTTCTAAAATGCTTGGATTTTTTTCTTTTGCAGGGAAGGAAGTCTTTAGTTCTGACTTCTTTTCTGAGGGTTGTGAGAAGAAGATAGAGGTAGCATAGAGTAGAACGGTTAGGTATTGATCTCCTTTCTGCTGTGAAGATTGTATGACAGTAGACAGGGATTGCTGAAAAAGCAGGCTTCTGTATGTATTGTTTTTGAACGTAAAATTATAGCAGAGGGTACATTCCCTTAATTTTCTCTGTATAGCTTTAGCAGACAAAGCATTTTAGAATCCAGAAGAGATTCCTTACCTCTTCTAAGTTTTATACTGTGAATGTGAAAACATAAAATGCCATTTTTTTTCCTCCAAAGAGGAAACACCCCACATCTTATCATGTGGGGATGATTACCACTTTTATTATTTTTCTTCTAGTGAGTGCTTTGTCTATTGGAATCTGGACTGAGATGGAGAAGTAAGGGTGCTTCTTGAGTTAGCTATAATCCATTGCTTATTAGTCCTCTGCAGTGCTCGTAACTGAAAATCAGTGAACAGATTTTGCAGTCTGTAAACTTTCTTCTCTGTTTACATACTCTGGCATTGTTGGGCTGTCCTGGGATAAACATTTAAGTCTTTAGACAGACAAGAATTTCTTACAAGCAAATTGTAGCTGCAACTTCCTCTGGTCATATTAGGCATAGTGTCTGCCAATGAAGGAAATATAAAATAGGGTCCTTCCAAGCCCGCTTATTTTTGATAAATAAGTGGGAAACTTATTTGCTTATTGGGCTAGGCATTCAGAATATTTTTTTTTCCTCTTCAATTTTACTCTTTATAGATAATCCATAGTTTGCTCTTCAACTCACTATGAGGATAAGTGTTAATTCAATAACTGGAATATCAGACCCCTTTTATATTTTAGTGCCGCAAATAAGTAATTTCTGCCATGACTCTGAACTGATTATCGCATATGTTTAGTCTTAACAGGGGTTTTACTGAAATGCACTGTATGAGTGGCCACTCAAATTTTGTATCTTGTGTGTGCATCATACCTCCAAGTGACCTGTATCCTCGTGGGCTGATTGCAACTGGTGGCAATGATCATAATATTTGCATTTTCACAGTTGACAACCCAGCTCCTCTTTATGTCCTGAAGGGCCATAAAAACACAGGTATGTTTTAGATTTTGTGGCGTAAAAATTTAAGAATGTGTTAGGGTAATAAGTTGAATCTGTAAAACTGAATTTTGATTATCTGGTAATTTAATGTAGTGAAGTACATTACTATAAGTTTTGGACTCTTCCTCTTTTATTAAAGATGGTTGTAGGCACCAACCTGAGAACATCCCAGGCTTCCCAGCAGCACCAAAAACTTTAAAGAGAAATTGTTCGTATTTAAACCCCTTAGTTTACTATGCAAAAGAAAAAAAGAAACTTCATTACATAGGAATAGCTTAGGTGCTGGAATGGGTGAGTCGATAATAAACATGATGTGCTCCCTCTAGAGTTGTAAATACTGATAAGCTCTTCTAGGGAGGTTGTATGCTGTACCCAAAACCTAATAACAAAATGTTTAGAAGTAACTGATTTTTTTTGTGTGTGTGTGATAATGTTCAAATATTTAAAAATGTGAAACTCAGATTACTGTGAGGGTGACAGAGCCCTGGGACAGGCTGCCCAGAGAGGTTGTAAAGTCTGTTTCTCTGGAGATCTTCCAAAGCTGCCTGGATGCAACTCTATGCTACATGCTCTAGGTGTTCCTGCTTGAGCAGGGGGATTGGTTTAACAAATTCTAATCATATGAGAAAATAATGGGAGCTAAGAGACATTTTAAAAATAACAAAATTTTGCCATCTAATATGAAGAGATTTTCAAGTGATGCCCAAGTTGTAGTGTGCCTAGTTTTAATTGTCAAACTTGTGAACACTATAACTATGCTGCTAGTAGAAACAAATTTCTTTAAACACATCTGTTATAAAATCAAATCTCCTTAAATAAAGCTGCTTACACTGCTGACCTAAGATTGGCGACAATGCAGGAAACATGTCAGTAATGTTTTGAACTTTTGTTTCAGTTTGCAGCCTTTCATCTGGGAAATTCGGCACATTGCTAAGTGGATCATGGGATACAACAGCCAAAGTGTGGTTGAATGACAGATGTATGATGACATTACAGGTACGAAGTCCTGCATGAGTATTAAATACATGCTTTCATTTTCATCAGCAAAAAAGCCACCATGTTGTTGTTTTGCAGGGTCACACAGCTGCTATATGGGCGGTGAAAATACTGCCTGAACAGGGTTTAATGTTGACTGGTTCAGCTGACAAAACTATTAAACTGTGGAAGGCAGGAAGATGCGAAAGAACATTCACTGGTAAATACTCTGGCAATCAGTAGTTTAATTGGCAGGGGCGGGGTACATGCTCTTAAAAAAAAATCATGAAGTTGCTGATAAATTTTCAGTTATTTTTCTTTCTTCTGCAAAGGGCATGAAGACTGTGTGAGAGGTTTAGCTATTCTTAGTGAAACAGAATTCCTTTCGTGTGCTAATGATGCTAGTGTCCGAAGATGGCAAATCTCTGGCGAGTGCCTGCAGGTGTATTATGGACATACAAATTACATATACAGCATCTCTGTCTTCCCTCAGGGTAAAGGTAAGGTTGTTCTTATTACTATAACCCAGCATTCTTCTAAAATAAAACAAAAAGGTATTTGGTTCTGCAGCAGTACTGTGGAGCTGTCATAACAGAAGAACTCAATTGGCATTTCATTTGCTTCATTTACTTTATTTTCTCCCCTCTGCTTGCTGAATTTTACGTTAATAATAAAAACGTAAGTGTTTGAATTCAAATCTTATATCTGGCATAACTGCACTGACAGTAAATGAGAAGAAAAGTAGAGTAAATTCTTCCTTTATTGAAGCAACAGCACAAACTATTTTCCATAGTTACCTGCGTATTGTCACTGTAATAGTGTAAAGGAATTGTGCATGTGACATTTTCAGATATTGCAAATTTAGGTGCTTCCATAAAAAAAATATATAAATGCAATTAACCCAGACACGTAAAACACTTAATCTAAACTATTTATAACATACTTAAAATTTTTGAGACCTAAGAGTTTCAAAGCTGTAGAGAGTTGTAGAAGATGTTCTGAGTTGTGACTGTTGTGGTGTGTGTGTTACTTGCACATTCATTCATTAGGTGAACAGGTGTACGCTAGTGGATGCATAGGTCACAACTCTCTTCTATCTGAAAACTGTCAAAGAAGAAGATTCTATAAGTTAGGCATAGATTTTTGAGGGTGCTTAATGTATGCTTCCTGAAAAAACAGAAGCTACTCTGCAAAAATTCAGATTTCAAAGAACTGGGAAACTCTGGAACATAGGGTAAGACAAAACTATGATAGTCTCAAAATTACCCTTAAGTTCTGTTTGTATCCTTGAAACAAGAAAGAATCTTTTGTCTACCATGGGAATAATTTCATTGACTATTTGGCTAATGAGTTCACAATTTATGCACTTAAATTATTTTTATGAAGAAAAGTATGCATAATTTTTTGCTTTTTTCTAGTTCTCTTGAGAACTAAATTACAAAAAGCTTCCTTTTACACTTTTAATTTTTAGGTAGTTTTAAGAATCCACAGTATATCACAATTTAGTAAATAGATGTATAATTTTAAACTTTTTTTCTTTCTTTTTAGATTTTGTAACTACTGGAGAAGATAGATCTCTTAGAATTTGGAAACGAGGGGAGTGTGCTCAAACAATCAGACTGCCTGCTCAGTCTATATGGTGCTGCTGTGTGTTGGACAATGGTGACATTGTAGTTGGTGCAAGGTATCCTGGTTTTACTGTCACCATAAATATACATCTAAAATTGGAGAATCCCTGATGAAGTTTTGTTTCATACATACGTATTGTTTTCAATGTCAGAATTCTCTATTTTTAACAAACACCACTGTGGTGTGAGAACATTAATTTAAATATGTGTTCCTGTACTTCAGAAAAAAATTAGATTACTTTTTTCATGTAGTAACTACTAATACTTCAATGGTAAACAGTGAATACTTTGGAGAATTGGCCTAGCAATTGAATACAGTGCTATGGGAAGACTTGCAGTTTCTGTAAACAGTACCAACAGTACTGTTTCTGTAAACAGTACCACTAGGCTTTTAAAATTATACTGTATTTAAGACTTCAAGTTAAGTAGTTACTTCTTGTAAGTTGTTTTCAGTAGGAGACCTGGATCCTATGTCTAGTAATAATTTGAATGCTTTCTGTCTGCTCAGTGATGGAATCATAAGAGTGTTTACAGAGTCATCAGAACGCACAGCAAGTGCTGAGGAGATTCAAGCTTTTGAAAATGAGCTTTCCCAAGCATCAATTGACCCTAAAACTGGTGATTTAGGAGATATTAATGCTGATGACCTTCCAGGAAGAGAACATCTTAAGGATCCTGGTAAGTTATTTCGTTTCTGTTTTTACAGGTGTCTCCAAATCTTGGTTCAGAGGCATTAAAACTTTTAATGTCTTTCAAAACTAAAATGATTTGATCACTTTATAGAGTTTCTGAAGAAAACAGCTTAATTTTCTCTGCTGTCGTTCAATTGATTCCTTTTGGAAGGTAGACCGTAGTTTAAATGTATAGCAGTAGTAGACGTATATGGTAAAAATTTCTCATGTGAGATATTTTAAAAGACAGTTTTCAAGATGCTACAGTGTCATGAGGATGTGTTTTGAATCTGGCAATGCCAGCTACACCAGCACTGTAAGAAAAAATTGTGTAAGTTATGAATGGACTATTTAATGTGGATTTTTTTTCTTGAAGTAGATGTTTTATTTCCTTATTTTAACTTTCAGTTTGAAATTTGTCTTGACTGACTGAGTGTACTTCTTGCAGGTGCTAAGGACATAAGAATACAGAAGAAACAGTGACAGTTAAGATTATTCATAAATAAGAAAATATTCTTTTTCCCAGAATCAGCCCTGGATCCTGACCACCAAATAGCATAAATTGTCAGTCATCTTTCTTACAGTTGTATGAACTTTCCCATCTTGTTAGTCTGAGAGATTTTCTGGAATACTTGACCCAGGGATTACTTTGCATCTTAGTCTGGTGGCAGATGCCAGTATATGATTGTAGAATGCTATTGTCAGGATTTCTTATTGTTGTAATATGTAGCATTACGTGTAGCACTACAAACACATAAAAACATGTAGTATGTTTTTATTTTCTGTGCCCTAACTTTGAATCTTCTTGAACTATCTTTTCCTCTTAAAATTTGAGTACAACTTGAAGACTGTTTTTCACCTAAAATAGTTCTTGTTTTAAAATTTCTTAACTCCCTCAAATACTCCCGTCTACAGGAACAAGAGATGGACAGACACGTCTCATTAAAGATAATGGGAAAGTCGAAGCCTATCAGTGGAGTGTTAGTGAAGGAAGATGGGTAAAGATCGGTGATGTTGTTGGTTCTTCTGGAGCCACACAGCAAACATCAGGAAAAGTTTTATTTGAAGGAAAGGTATGCATACTTATATTACTTACTTCAGGTAAAATGCTTAATTGCACATTTTAAAAATTATTCCAATCTTTGTGTACATCAAATATAAATTAGAAAGCAGGGATTTGGCAGTAGTAAAACTCGGCTCAGATTGAGATACAAGTATAAACTCTGACTTCTGCACTATACTAAAAATGCATTTTCTAAGCTAACTTTCTAAAAAGTTAGCTGACATGAACAAATTATTTTATGAAAAAGTAAACTGTTAGCTAGTAGAGAAAAGATCAAGTTCTCTAACATTTATTGCTAATAACTTGAAAAATTAGCTTGACTTCCTTTCCAAAGAGAATGAATCTTAAAACTCATTTGAGGATCATCTAATCTATTAATTACCAGATTTCCATGGCCTCTTTCCTTAACTTTTGAGCTAAAACACAGATAGTAATTTTAAAGACAAGTAGGTCCTTTATTGATGCTAATATAGAGAAAAGTCTGTATCTAGTACCACCAAAGGATGTTCAGGTAGTAATTATGTTATCTTGAGCATGCTCCAAAAAAAACTTAAGAGTTTGTCCTTTTTTAGTATTAGAAGTATGCTTCTAAGCCTGAAGTCTTTGAGGCATCTGACTGTCCTGTAGTTTTGCAGATCACCAGGTTTGTCTCTGCAGGGTTATATCTGATGCCCAAATTATTTTTCTAATACATTTGCATATATATTGGCTGAATCTGTTGTTATAGCCTACTCTTTTTTCAGGCACAGCATCCTAGAAAACACAGGACATGGTTTGTATATTTCAGAATTGCAGTCCATGTAGGAGAATATTATTGATACAAGCTGCAAATCACTGCAAATCACAGTATTGAAGACTGAGGGCTAAGATGAAGTTCAGTTTATGTTGTATATATCTGTATACCAAATACAATGACACGTATCTCATTTTCCTCAATCTGAATATTTATTTTCCTTAAAGGAATATGACTATGTTTTCACCATTGATGTAAATGAAAGTGGGCCTTCCTACAAACTGCCGTATAACATCACTGAGGATCCTTGGCTGACTGCATACAACTTTCTGCAAAAGAATGATCTAAATCCTATGTTTCTGGATCAGGTGGCAAAGTTTATTATAGACAACACTAAAGGGCAAACACTGGGGAATACGACCACTCAATTTTCAGATCCTTTTACAGGTAAAAAAATAAATATTCTAGTGCACAAGTAAATATGCTGGCTCTCAAGGAGATAAAGATGCATATTTAAAAATGATTTTTGTTCTAATATAATAATTACAGTTCATTGTGTCTTTTTTCTGTAGATGTATTTCTTCACAGGGATGGAGCACAATCAAGCAGAATGATACAAAGTGTAAACTATACTGCCAGCATAAGCCTATGGTTTAATATTTTCCTAGCAATGCTGGTCACTTCACAAGGAGTCACTTCAGGGTCCTAATTTCCATAATTTATTATAGTACTTATTTCATGCCCTCATGTCCAGAAGTAGGCACAGTTTTTGTGATTTGGCCCCGCCAGATCTGCACAGAAGGAAGGGATCTCCTCCCTCTGGCAATATCTTTCCTGCTGCAGCCCGTATACCAGTGGCTTTCTTGGCCGCAAGGGCAAATTGCTGGTACCAACCACAAACTTCTGAGCTGTGGCATTCAGCCAGTTCTTAATCTACTTTCTCCTCGCCTAGTCCATACTTCCTCAGCATTCCTATGAAAATGAGAAATAGTATCAAAAGCTTACTGAAGCTAAGAAAGACAACATCCACTTCTCTCTGCTGATCTATCTAACCAAAGTTACTCCATCATAGATTGGTATCTCTGATTTTAATCTCTGATTTAGCTGTGCCTAATAGAGTATGTATGCTTCAGAAGACAGAGAGCTTATCCCAGAATAATCAGGAAGAATCTTGTTTTAGTGTCAAGGTAAATCTGTGCAGTGGATCAGATTTATTATAATCCCACAATATGCTGTAAGATGTATCTGATATTTTGCTTTGTTTTTTGCTACTTCTGCTTGAAAAGTTATGACACAGTACTAACAGCTATAGTCATTGTTTTTCTTACTGTTTTTTTTTAGGTGCTGGACGTTATGTCCCAGGCTCTTCATCTGGATCAAATACAGGATCTGGAGCAGATCCATTTACAGGTAATTTATAATCTGTATTCTTTATTGCAGTGTATCTTTCAGGATTTTAAAGGTGTGTGTTTCATGCTCAGTTCTAATCCGGAATGCTGTTCCTCTCAGTTCTCCACTTGGACTAGGTATACTCCACAGCTGTGACGCTTAAATGTGAAAAATGACAAGGCATGTTTGGATTTGTTTGGAAGAGGAGGACTCCTCTGCTGCCTAGTCTGTGTCACATCATTCTGTTTGTCTTCTACAATTTATTAATACTTTTAACAAATGAAGAAGGCCTTATACCTTCATGCTTGCCAAACTCTTACATGAACGACCAAATTAGGATTGGATATTTTCATAGAACTACACACTTCGTTTTTTTCTTATGACTTGACCTTTACTGTAGTAAATTAGTACTTTAAAATCTGATTAATTGTGCAGTAATTTCAGTTAGGAGGTCGATGAACCTAGTTACAGATATGAAGATGAAACAGTCAGGCATTTGAAGAAAGGGGTTTGGGTTTTCTTCATGTATATGCCCAAAAGAAATTGAAAGTATTTAACATACCACGATCATAGAATTATAAAACATTTTTGACTGGAAGGCACTTAGTCCAGAGGCCATCTAGTCTAACCTAGTGCCCAAAGATATAATGAGATCAAGTTGCAGCAGTGCCGCATGATGGGGCAGGATCGCTTCCACAGAGCTGCTGCTTGCCTTGTGGTAATGCAGTCCAAGATGTGGAGGACCTACTTTGTCCAGGTAAACTGCTGCCTTCTGTCTGCTCTTCCCATCAGGCCATTTCTCCAGCATGTTCATGTGCCTGTGAAGAGCCACTCTGTTTTCTGGTGCACTGAATGATCCCACCGATCTGGTGTCCCTCACTAAATTGCTGGGAGTGCACTATGTCATGTAGTGGAAGTTGTTAAAGAGGATATTAAAGAATTAGTTCCAATACTGGCCCCTGGAGGATGTTGTTAGCCTCTGCCTCAGAGGAGAGGCTGTGAGGGATGAGCCCTTGCTGTGAGTATAATTCTCCTTGGGATTGGAGATCCCTTTCTGACATGTGTTGTAAGGAAGGGAGTACAGTGGGATGCAAACAATGCCAGAAGCCTCTAATTGAATGGACAGTTAGACTATTTAGACAGTTAGTAAGGGCCTTTGGAGGCTCCTACTACCTTAATTTTGTGATTCTGAGCTACTCCTGCTCTAACAAGTTTAAAACCTTCTTCCCAAGGTTTGCAAACCTGTTCGAAAGAGATTCCTGGTTTGCTTTGTCAGACTTAACCCATTGTTGCTCAGTATCGCCCTGCTTCTCAAAGAGGGTCCCATAGTCAGAGAGCCAGAGTCCTACCTGTGAAATAAGTCATGTGCTTAGCTGCTTGACCGCTTCTGTACTTCCACTTCCGTGGCAGGATCAAGGAAATGCTTCACTGTTGAGTAGAGCTCTCTAGCTGCCTTTTAAAACCCTCTTCCATGCTAGTAAGCATTGCTGCCCAAGTGGAAGAGCAGCAGTGCTGGTAATGAAAGTGGTACCTTGGGACACATTAGGAAGAATATTGCCAGCAGGCTGAGAGAGGTGATCCTACACCTTTACTCAGCCCTGGAGAGGCCACATCTGGAGTTCTGTGTCCAATTCTGGGCTCCCCAGTACAAGAGGGACACGGAACTCCTATAGATAGTCCAGTGTAGGGCTAAAAAGGTACTTAGGGGACTGGAGCAGTCATAAGAAGAAAGAGCTGAGCCTGTTTAGCCTGAAGTTTAGCCTATCTTCATTCAGGTGCTGGTCCCTATGTTCCTGATTCTGTGTCAAATACAGTAGGTTTAGCGGGTAAAGCTGATCTGTGTATAGGTGTAAGAGGTGAGGCTAATGAATAAAAAACATTCCTGATATTTTGACTTGGTGATTTGATACTTTTCTTTTGACATGGATTCTATACTGGTAGAAATAAATAATTAAAAATAATTGGTGAATTGCTAATGCTCTGAAAACTTTTCAGAAAATACTTTCAGTAAAGATTTAAAATGTAGGTGGTAATCTGCTTTTGAAAGATTTTTAGGTTTGCTACTAGTTATGTTGTTCTTGACTCCAGAGTTCATGGTTCAAAGCGCTTCCTTTACTATTGTATGAAGATACCTCAGGCTAATAATTCATATGACATAAGCATTCATATATACTTGGTGATATCTGCAGATCTTCTAGTAAATACAGACTTCTGGGAAGATAACTGCCATATCAGAAGATAAGGTTTTGGAGGGCAGAGAGGGATCTTCTATCTCAGTTGAGCCCTTGCCATTTCAATATTTTAACTGCAATACCTGTTCCTAAGGAATGGCTGCATGTTTAGAGTTCTGCCATAATTCAGAAACCACTGTTAATAATTTGCAGTTGTATAGTAACTTTGTAGATGAGAGAAAAAAAAAGTGTTTATGAAGGAATTGACTGAAATTATTACTTTCAATTTTGTAATCCTTTTCTGTCCTCATAACATGAGGAATTACAGCTCTTTGCATAAACATTTACTTTTTTTAAAGAGATTTTTCTGTGGCAAATGTTTTCATAGACTTTTGAGCTTGTTGTATTTTCTTTATGTAGGAATGGGTGCCTACAAATCACCTGCGGCTAAAACAGAAAATATTTATTTTCCTAAGAAGGAGGCTGTCACCTTTGATCAAGCCAATCCTGCACAGATACTGGGTCAGTGTTTTATAACTTTGAGTCTGTCTTTATTTTTGTTCCGTGTGAAATGGTAACATCATTATTAATCTTTCCCAAAAAATGAGGGCTCATAACAAACAAAACTTTTTTGTTTGTTTTTGAAGTTTAGAATCTGAAAACCAGGCTTACTGTTTCCTATGATCTTGTAACAGTGCATGGTTAAATAAAATGGTTACTATTGTGCCCAGACTGGACTAAATTTAATATCCATGTTGTTGTTTTTTTTTCTCTCCACAGTAAGCCCTCAGTTAATTTTAATTTACAGTATACATCTTCTAAGTCCATGCTACTATGACCAATACTGATAACTTATGCTTTTATAGACATGGCTGTTCATCAGTTCTGGATGAACTGTGAATGGCAGGTGCTAATCCTAGATGGGTTCTGTGCAAAATACAATGCATTCATTGTTGAAAACTTTGATCTTTAAATTGCATTCAGATTTGAATGCAGGACACTGAGCTGTCATACTTCTGTTTATGACATTTCAATCAAAATAAGAATAGTTTGATTTATAGTGATTCTGAGTTACATAGTTTCTTTTTTATTTTGGCTGCCTCAGAAAAGAATAAAAGGGAATCACAGTTCAGTTATACAAAGCTAATGCTCTTGTGATTTTTGCATGCATGTCAGCTAAGATACAAATTCTTTGTGTTGCAAAACTAGGAGATTTGCTGTGGGAGTTGTTTTGATTATTAAATCTTAGAAACAAGATGAATGAGGGAAAAGTAATATTTTAATATTTGAAATAAAAATTTCTACTAAATACAGTTACATCATCTCCAGAATTGTTCATAAAATGCTGTGTAGTATGTTCAAAATTATTTCAGATGAAAAGTTCTAATGCAGAGAGCTATGGCTCTGTGGCTTTATGGCTCTTGGTCATACAGGCAAACTAAAGGAACTTAACGGAAGTGCATCTGAAGAACAAAAGCTTACAGAAGATGACTTGATAATCCTTGAGAAGATACTGTCCACAGTATGCAATACCTCTGCAGAAGCACCTACAGCACAACAACTTCAAACTTTATGGAAAGCAGTTAACTGGCCAGAAGGTAGACATTTACTTTTTTTTTTTTTTTACTTTTTTACCTTTTTTTTTTTTTTGCTCATATCATCAATACTTCACCAAAAACAAAATTCTGTAGTAGTGGGCATTAAATAGACTGTGTCTTGAAGAATTAATAACGCAAATTGAAACCAGAAAATGGCACATTGGCACCAATAACATCGTGTGAGGAGATAATGCTGGTCATCAGCAAAGGCAGCAGCATAAACTGTAAAATTGGTAATAGGTAGTCAGGTTTTCTTGGTGGTGCAACAGTAAAGGTAAAGGAGGAACTTGATGTAAAAAAATTAGTTTAAAGAATATCTCCCGAAAAGAGCAGTGAGACTTGTTTGGAAATGAGAGTAGGAAGCTGAAGTCCAGAAGTAATCATCAAATAACAAGTGAAATTATGGAGATAAGTTAGGAAAGACACTGAAGAAAAATAGCTCTTGTTTAACAAGGAGAATGGTTACTGCAGGATAGAATGTGCAGTCAGAACTGCATTGGTGAAATGTTTTCAATGGATGTAAGCAGAGGTAATGCAATTTTACTTCATAAATGTAACACTAACAAGTCAAAAAAGGTTGTTGCTCTACTTAAAGGCTAGAAAGACTTTATCTTGGCTTTAACATCCTCAGAAAAATCGATACTTTGCATATGAAGATACATTGGAATGAAGTTTAGAATAGACTGCTTAACTTTATGGTTAAAAGCTTACAAATGGAAGCTTTTTTTTTTAATTAAAATGCTGTTCATTGTACAAAATCACTTAAAATTCTGCTCTGCAGAGCTAGCTGCTGATTGTGGCTAATATTTTCAACTTTTTGAATGGACAAAGTCTGTTCTGAAGATGCTGCATGTCTATGGAAAAACTGCTCAGTGACTAGCTGATCAGATTGATCTTTCCTAATTCATTTATAAACTTGAGATATTGATGGAAAAGTGAAGGAGCAGATACATTTGAAATTGGGAAGCGGGTTTATTATAGATCAGTCAATTGGGTCTTCAATTAAGGATATCCTTTTTTCCCTAGAAATCATATCTGAGAGAGTTGAAGGTAATTAACAACAACAACAAAAGATTTACTAATATGTAAGCAGTTCCATAGTTGTACTGATCTGTAAGACCTAGAATGAGAGGAAAGATCATGTTAATGCATTTGTCATTGGGAAGCTTTGAGAAGCCTTCGTGGATTAGTTGCCTTGAATATTTTGTGCTTGCCTTCAGTTTTATCAGTTAGAGCTTTTTTGAGTATTTTTTAAAAGCACTGTGTCTCTTAGATTAGGGAGTCTATTTTTATGGTTGACTGAAGCGTTTGCAGAACAGGTTTTGTCAAAATTTGTCTTTGTAAATTTCTAGCAATTTGGTGGTTTGTGTGAGTCCCTTTCTGCATAAAGCTATTAATGTCTGTTTTCCAAAGCAGAAGTTCACATATCTGTATATCTGAAACAAACTTGCTGGCATGTTTGCTCATAATGCAGTATTAATATTACCTATTTTTTGTTTGTTCCCCAGATATTGTCTTTCCAGCACTAGACATTCTTAGATTGTCCATCAGACATCCCATTGTGAATGAGAACTTCTGCAGTGAAAAGGATCATGTGCAATTTATCATCCTCCTCCTTAAATTTTTGAACCCTAAAGGAAAGCAAGCAAACCAGCTGCTGGCACTTAGAGCTCTTTGCAATTGTTTTGTTAGCCAGGCAGGCCAGAAGCTCATGATGGAACAGAGGGATGAAATAATGACACAAGCCATAGAACTGAAATCGGGCAGTAATAAGAACATTCTTATTGCGCTTGCTACGCTCACATTGAACTATGCTGTTTGTTTACATAAAGTCAGCAACATTGAGGGCAAAGCTCAATGTTTATCAGTAATCAGCACAGTTATGGAAGTTGTTCAAGATCTTGAAGCTGTTTTTAGACTGCTTGTCGCTCTGGGGACACTGATCAGTGGTGATACAAATGCTGTGCAATTAGCCAAGTCCCTGGGAGTTGACTCTCAAATAAAAAAGTATGCCTCTGTATCAGAACCGACTAAAGTAAGTGAATGCTGTAGGTTTGTTCTTAATCTGCTGTAATTGTTGTTATTATTATTTTTTGCGGGAGACTGTATGCAGAAAAAAAATGATGCTTTTGTGCATTTCATGTGACAGTATATCATTGAGAAAATACTGGGGATGAGCTAAAACCTTGATATTGTCAGGTGTTACACAGCAAATAAAACTTTTTACGATTGCCATGTGACTGCTTCTCTGAAGTCTACAGTGTACAGGATCTTTGCAGGAGGTCTTTCTGGAATAGCTGAGAAGATCAAAATAATAAATCACTTAGAAGCTGGATTGCCAACCAGAAAGGATAGGATGCAAAACAAAAGCTTCAACAGAATGACTATTTCTCAACTGTGCTATTTGTTTGCAGAGAAAAACTGTCAAATTCAATGGCAGTCTTTAAAAGATTAATTTTGGCCAATAGTAGCTGTGGTCAAATATACTAGTAAAGAAATTACATTTACTTAATTTTCCATCTTTTTTTCCTTCCTACTTTCTTTCTTAAACCTAACTCTTTTGTTGCTTTTACCATGTATAGTTTGTACTGCAGCATTTTTTAATCTAGAACTATGTGAATTTCTGAAAGACAGACCCTATCTCATATAGCTGTAGTGCTTCAGTGATAAGTTAAGGGCGTGTACTTTTTAAAATGGCTTAAACATCCACTTCTAGGAAATCCTTTACTTATGAACAGGATATTAGTTAACAGCAAAAGTCTCTTACTCTAAAAACATGTTATAAAATATTGGATTGTATTTACAAAGTGCAGGAACTAAAAATAAAAAAAAAGTGGTCTTGGAGTGGAGCTGTAGGTAGAGAGGATGGATCAAACACTAGAAAGTGCAGAAATACAAAGTCAAGTAGCTTTAACACAGTGTCAGTAGTGATTTTTGAAAGGGAAATATTTTCCATCTGAGATGATCTAAGATGGTCAATTCAAAAGAGAGCTATTATTTCCTATTAATCATTTCATTTGCTTAAAAATTTAGAAAGTCTTCTGAGAGCTATTTGCCTTTGTGTTAAGTAGCCATCTGCCTGAAGAAGCTTGTAAAGTGTCCTGCAAATGTTACTCTCTTGCCTTTAATTAAAGTAAGTAGACATTTAGAATTACCAGGTCCATGTTCAGCATATCTAAGACAATTTATTAAAATCTCTATGTTTTCAATCATATTAATCTAATAAAATTTAGAAGTGGGCCAGTTTTTACAGCACTTGAGCTCTTTATGTCATCTGGTGTTTTGCGGTAGATCAACTCCTTTTTGAGAAGCTACATTCAGAAAATAGTTTTAAGATATGGCCTATCTGTCTGTGAAGTTTTGTGTCCTGCTACACATTCTTGAAACTCCAGCTTTTAAATGTTGTGCTTTTAACAGTGTATTTGTACATGTGTTAATTTACAAAGCCTATATACATCTAACATTGTTTTTGTTACTGTGGGATTGCTGTGTTACAGACTGCCTGTGTGAAAGGTGCATGGCCATAAATTTCCTAGAAGTTTGTGTTAATAAACATACTCTGGCAACTCTGAGAAATAGTATATAAGAAGAGGTATTATAAAATGTGCTAAAACTGAATTTGCAGGGAAATGGTTTGCTGAAAAAATCTTCCATCTGGGGATGGGAGTGTATGTGAAGGCAGGATATAACAAGCAGGAGAAGGATAGTTGCATTAGAGGCTGCACAGCTTTCCCTGTGAGGTTTGTTGTTATCTGATCGCTTAGTGTTGTTTCAAGGAATATGTGTCTGCTGAGGTAGAACATCCAAAATTCTAGGGGAACGGTCCTTAATGTTCCCTTCTCCTCTATTCCCTTAAACAACACAAAATTATAAAGTGCATAACAACATACCCCATAGGCAATGGAAGCAATATATTTAGGAAGTGGTATGTAACAAGTTAAAATATATAACAGCAGCTTGGAATACATTGTAAGAATAGAATGTGCAAAATAGGGTGGATTTTTTAAAAAAATTTAGTGCAAAACTACTTTTGAGTTTCCATGTATCCATTCATTTATTTATTTGGTAACATTCACTGCGGATTTCACTAAGTTTGTAAAACTGATTGTGTGGTAGTCCAGTCCCGAAAACAAATAACCTGTACACCCTTATTTTAGACTCCACTGTTCTCCAGATCCTCCATTGTGGTAGAGTATGCATGTGTCTGCGTAAACACACAAATGTGCACATGCACGCAGGTATATTCAAGGATACTGCAAAATGTGCTTTGGAGATGACCAGAACAGCCAAAAAAACATTAAAGATGTCATGGGGATGAAGGTTCCCCTTCCATGAAAGGATGTTAATGCTATACATAGTAAGAAGAGCAGACAGCCAGGAAGTGGCCTGCACTCTAGGGAGAGTACACTTTATATGCACACAAAAGTTAGACCTGGTGCTCCACCTGAAGGAGTCAGCATACAGAACTCGACGTGGCTTTATATTAAATTTGGGATAAAAATGTATTCTATATAAACTGTGAAATTGAATTTTCAGCAATCTTACAGGATTATTAAACAGCTTAAAGGATTTTCTAGGCATTTTCAGAATTCATATTCTTCCAATGGAGTTTTTGTGTCTCTTCACACTAGAGGTTAAGCTTTTCACTTTGGGATTTTTTTTCCAGCCTTTCTGGGTACAGTGTGCAAAGGTGAACCAAATCACTATTGAGCTGTATCAGAGGGAAAAAAAAAAAAAAAAAGGAAATAAGTGTAAAGTATGAATTGCCCTTTTCTTTGATGGTTAATTCTGAAGTCACTTAGGACTACCTAAATGCCAGTGTTGTTATCAATAGCCTTGTCAAAACACACAGGTATCTTCCCTAGTCTGTATCAGTAGATGCCATATTAATTGAAACTGTTACACATAAAGGGGTAGGTTTTATATATGATTGTAGCACAGACATTTATATGATTATTTGATAAGTTTTTATCTTTAGAATTTAAACACTTTCCTTTGTTTAGATGCTTAAACATCCAAGAGAAGAAAATATAGGGAGATGAACCAGTGATACTAGATGGATTAGCAGATCTCAGCGAAGCACCCAAACCAGTTTTTACATATGATAAAAAAAAAGCATAACCTTTTATTTTCCATATAGATATGAAAAAGGTACCAAAAATGCTATTTTTCTTCTCTATCACCTTATTACAAAATCTCCAACCTCTTAAAAATACATGAAGACTGGCACTTTCTGACTGTCAGTATACAGATTTGTGCCCAACCAGACTGACCCATCAGTACAGCTTAATCTCACTCAAAATGATGTCTCGTAGAAATTAGTGAGAAATTTCTGGGTCATACAATCCTGAGAGAACCCAAAAGCTTTGAAGACATCAGGTCTGAAGAATATAAGGTGCTACCTTTGACGTGCTGCCTATGTTTAAAATGTTCTAGAGGCTTCAAACAGTGAACTGCAATACAAATTTTTGAAAAGACATGCCAGTGGGATCTGTGGAAGAACAGCTAAATCAGATGCTCTGTTGGTGCACACTGTACAGACTATAGAAAAGACTAGTGAACATCATGGAGTATGTCTAAGCTGGGCTTTTGCTGACAGGACATTTCACAAGTTTCAGCATCCTTGCAGGAGACATGAGAACACACAGCCCAGGGGAAGTGACTGCTTGGATTTGCCTCGGACTTGCTGATATGGATTTGGGCTTCTGTAAGACTTCTGACAGGCTCCTTAGCTTTTAACAGCTGTCCAAGGAAAAGAGATATTCACACTGATTAGTAACGGGTTAAAAGCTGAGGAAGTGTTTTGCCAATCGATGTGGAGGGGTGGGGGCAGAAAGAGCCAGACACCGAGAGAAAGAATGGTCATGTACAAATCAATAAGCTTACTATGTCCTAGGTTTTAACAACAGACAAAATAAGCAAGGTAATGCACTTAACCATTACTATACAGAAATGAGAATAGTGATTAAGAGAAAGATACATCCTTAATTAGCTAACTACGTTACCATGATCCAGATCCACAGATGCTGAGGAACAACTGACTTGTTGCAGCGAGGATTTGAAAAGCCTTCCCAGCAATTACAGGTGCGTCCACCTGTAAGTGAGTTCTCCAAAGTCGCTGTGAGAGGGTCCAGCTTTTATAAAACCAAATCAGCAAAACTTGCATTTTCTTTGTGAGCAGTAACATCTGGTATGTCCTACTTTCCCTGTCATCTGAGACTGGGACTTGGCCAGAGCCCCGGCTTTGGATGGGAAAATTCTCTTCAAGGTCAAAAACACTTGCATGAGAGCTTACAAAAGTTACAGATTTATGAGCCTACCTGCAAGTTAGCATAAGCAGTTCTACAGGTGAGTTCTGTGTACTTCTACAAAGGCAGAGCCGTCTTCAGCTGTAAGTAAACCCCGACTTGGACCTGTTCTTCAGACCCTTGCATTTCAGGGAGTTTGGGGGCGGGGGAAGGTGTGACGAAAAAAAACAAAAACCAGACTTAAATTTTCACTAGAGAATATTTCATTTTTCGCAGAGAACCGCCAAGCCCCATCGCACACTGAGGTCCTGAGTGCAGAGGGGGAGGTGTCAGCGCCCCAACCCCGACGCGAACGCTGAGGTGAGCAACGCCCAACGGCCTCCCGGCC